CTTGTTGACCCGGGTGTATGTGTGTGGCTCAGTAACTTTGAAGCACTCTCTTGACGCACTGTTGTGGTTCAGCAAACGCAATGCACAGGTGTGAAATATCTCTTTTTGAACAGAGTTTGTGGGTCATATGGTTAAAGAACAGACTTCTTCGAAGAATCCCGTCCTTCTTAGAACATAGCTTTTGAGCCCGTGTCAAATCTGTAACCTTGAAATGTCTGCATGCAAGTTTGTCGTGGAATATTGCTTTCATAGCTGACTTTCTGTAAGATCGTTTCTCAAGAAAACTCGTGACCACATTCTGTAATTTTGCTTCATCTCTTGTAATTCGTATACGTTCTTGTTCTGATCGGAAGCTATGGGGGGTGGGCTGTCTCAAGCCGGAGTATTCTTCCATTTCGACGAAGCCTCAATATCAGCAGAGAAGCCCGAGTACTTGTTTCTATCTGGGCTGCGGCAGTATGTCTCCATGAAAACTCTGCAAGATGACGTCACTTTAGACAAAAAACTTTGTGTCCCGCTTGTACTCTCGCAGAAAGCGGCCGTTTAATATTTCTTGATAGTGAGTTCCGCTTGTCAAGCTATTGAGCTCAAACGGACAAACGACGGATAAAGAGAGGGCTTGTGTTTTCCAAAAGCCCTCAATTTGAAACCACGCCAACTGGGCGGGCAGCTATACCCGTTTCCGGACCAACCTCTGTTTCGATACGATTTGTTGGATCAGTCCCATTTCCTTCCTTCAGTCGACCACCCTTAGGAATCTGTGAGGTTAACGAGTGAGTAGATTTCTCATTCAGTGCACTACAAAGAAACGCATGTAGTTCCTGAACCTCTGGATCCTGTTCATTCCCTCAGGGCCACGCCCACGTCATCACGTGGCTCGTCAACAACGGCGCTGACATCAACGTCATCAAAACGGACGACTGGAACGATTCGTTGCTGCACTATGCCGCCGCAAACGGACACCAAGAGTGCGTCGAAACGCTGCTTTCCGTAGGGGCGGATCCGACTGCGACCAATTTCGAGGGGGCGACCCCCGCGGATCTCGCCAGAAAGGGGGGTTACGGTGACCTGGCAAAGATACTGATCGAAGCGGCGTCGGACTGGATTCGGCGCGAGTCGTTCCGCATGACCGCACTACAACTGAAGGAGGACGCAGGTGGGTGAGCTTTTGGATTCGCCATCGAAGTCGAATCAGATCTTATAGCCCAGATGGAGATTTCTGCAGATTGGATACACCTGGAAAAGCACTGGAGTACGTACGTCAGTGAAAAACTACTCATGGGATTGAGGTCCTGCGATCATGCCGCCATGATTCTTTACGATCTGGCGCCAGATCGCTAGTGAAGTAGAGCTCTCTTGTCTGCCCTTCACTTGCAAGATAATCGCAAACCACATTGAAGAGAGGTGCTCAAAAAGTGATCGGCCATCACGCAGCAGTGAGAACTTCTATCTTTCTTTGATGTCACCTTCCGTTGTTTACTTTTGTTTGAGGAGATACCGAGCCACACGGCTGAGTCGCGCAGAGCACGACAACCACTCAATCCTGGCCCCTGAACCAACCCATCAAGTCACTTCTCTCCGGTCTCTTGACTTATGTAGATTTTCTGATGACCCCCCCTCACCTTGCAGAGATGCACAACGACGGTCTGGGCAGCTCCTTCCGGCGCGAGGTGGCGCAGCTCGACCGGATCCTGAACGAGGCCGCTGGGCCACCCCCAGAAGGCGAAAACAACGACCGCCTGAGCACTATCGACGAGAGCGGCAGCAGTTTTGGCACGGGGCCGCACAGCGAAAACAGCGGCCCGCACAGCGGCCCGATTAGCGGTTCATCCGTTTCGGGGGGGTCGTCCCCCGACTCGCGGCCGCTCTCGGCGGCGTCCCCCCCGAACGAGCTGGAGATGGCGAGCCTGGCGCGGGAGTACAACCTGAAGCCCGCCAGCCAGGTGCAGCTAACCGTCGCGGTTAAAACGCACCCGGAGCCCAAACCCGAGGAGGTTAAGAAGGCGGACACCCCGAAAGACGTGGACAAGGACGTTCCGGAGGACTCGTGGATCATCGCGAACCGGAAAGAGCCAGAGGGGTGGTCTTCCATGCGGAAGGAACACACACCGGAAGACGAGAGGACCTTCAAAGAGTATATTAACCGCGGGTGGGAGGGGTTGGGAACTGAGGGAACACAACTGCGCAGCGGTTGGCCGCTGTTCCGCGCATCGGCGATCGTGTGCCAGTCGCTGGGGGTGATCTACATTGTGTGGCGCGCGATCCGCACGTTCAACATCGAGTCGCTGTGGCTCAGCGTGCCGTTCTACATGGCCGAGCTGGTGTCGTTTATCCCGTCTTTCATCTTTTGCCTCGAGGTGAGCGGTTTTGTGGGCAGATATTTGTCTCGTCTGAAGTAACCAAAGTTTGACTTGGCAACTCTTATCGAGAGGAATGTACTCGAAGCGGTTCGACCTCGCGGCAATTCTTGTAATACAAGACTTTGTGCTTCTTTGATTCTTCTTCTTTGTGCTTCTTGATTCTTCTGCATCTTAAGAAAGCAGTCAAGAATGAAATGAGGAAATGGGTTTTCGAACCTTGTGAAAACAATACGAGTGTCTTCTCGTAGACGTTGGGACCCGTTTTTTCGCCGCTTTCGACGGAAGTTCTGCAATTTTGGCTTCGGGGTCTCGCAGCAGAGTTCCAAATCAATTCGCTCGGGACTTCACTGCCGTCAGCATTCACGCTCGACCCTTGACGCAAGTTCTAGTTTGGAGACCTCTTTCGTTATCAGAGGAGTAAGAGTGACATGTCCCATTCGCCAAGAACTCGCACGTCTTACGACTCTTTCTAACTCCCCTCCCTCTCTCCCCCAGGTCTGGTGCCCCGCATACCGCCCCCCCCGCAATCTCTCCCAGATGGACGGACTCACCGAGGCCGACTACCCGTCGGTTGACATCATCATCGTCTGTTACTCGGAGCCCGTAGACATCGTGGAAGCCACCGCTTGCGCTGCGCTCAATCTGGACTACCCCGCCGATAAGCTGACGGTGTATATCTGCGACGACGGCAAGAAGGACGAGATGCGCGCCATGGCGCACAGACTGGAGTTCCAGCGCCGCTACCTCAAGCGCCAGGCGCCGCTGATCTACGTCAGCAGAACCAAGGTGGGTGACGTCAGCGGGGGCGCGTTGGGGTGGTTTCGGTTCGCTCTTCTCGAGCGTTGCGTCTGTTGGTAAAATGCCATATTTGGTAAAATGTGGTGGTCAAAGGGTCGGGTCGCAAGAAAGATACATTAAGAGTCCGCTTGTCATAACTGTTGACGCCAGCAGGACTGACGCAGCAGCAACGCAAACTGGTCAGTGGACCTTCTAAGAGACGCTCAAGAGTAGCAAACTTTCAACGTCTCTTTTTTAACCTGGCCGCAGGTCAAGGGGATCTCCCACCACGCCAAGGCCGGAAACATCAACAACCTGCTCCTCAAGGGGGGAGCACGTGGCGACTTCGTGGTCGTTTTTGACTGCGACATGATTCCCAAGCGGGAGTTCCTCCTACGAACAATCCCGCACTTCTTTCGGACTAAGCCTGGCGGGGGCTGGGAGCAGAAGAACCGGGCCGGCTTCTTGCAGACTCCACAGGCAAGTCATACGCCCGAGAATAGTTGACCCTGACGAGCTGATTGTGCTCTGTGATTTTGGGTCGAGTATACTCGCTGCTGGGCTCTTGTTTAAAGGATGACCGCATTCTCGGTTTGAATCTTCATAAATTCAGACGGGGCTGCTTCAAGTCTGCCTTAGGAGGCCAAAACAAAGAACAGTGCTCGACGTCAAAGGTTTTGTGCCTTCGCCCACAGCAGGTGCAATATGCAGAAAAGTTCGTCACTTAAAAAATCGAGTTGCCCAATTGCAGCTGCAGCGAGATGCACAACCCGTCTAAAAGAGCGAAGAAACTTACAAACTAGGTTTGAAGCAGACGGCTGACGCAATTTGTTCGACAGGACTTCTACAACTTGGAAGCCAACGACCCGTTCGGCAACCGCGCCCGCTTCTTCTACGGCCCCATGATGCAGGGCCGCGACGGCGTGGGCAGCTGCCCCTGCGTCGGCACAGGCGTCATCTTCCGGCGCGAGGCGCTCATCTCGATGGGCGGCCAGGTGGGCAGCCTGATGACGTTATCCTGACGCGGACATAGCACGCGTCGTGTGGTTCAACTCTCCAGGCAGTTCTTCCGCAGAGTTTGCGCTTGGGTTTCCCATCTAGTCAGGCAGTGGGTTATACCTGCTCCGCTGGCAGAGCTTTTGACGGTTGGGAAGAATCTCAGTATGCTGGTAGTTGCTGGCTCGTTACGCAGAGGCACAGGTCAGAGTGGGATTCAGCAGCTACATTTGCGGTCACTTTCAGAGCAATCAATCTTGCTTCCATCAGTAGCAAGGTTCGAGCACGGATATAACTGCACTCTTAACGCATCTTTCGGAAGGGGCTCCCAAGCTGCTTGCCCAGAGCCTCCTTTGCGTTTTTCACTCCTTCTAACTCTTTCAACCGGACTTTCAAGCCTCAAGCTCTTGTGAAACGTCTCAATCACCGCGTTCTTTCTCCAGGCGTACGGCAGCATCACGGAGGACTACAACTCGGCGATGGGCCTGCTGGGCGGCGGCTTCTCCAGCATGTTCCTCAACGAGCTGCTCATCTTCGGCATCGCGCCCGATGACGTCATGACCGTGCTCACGCAACGTCAGCGGTGGGCGATGGGCAGCCTGCAGATCCTCTGCCTGGACAACCCGCTGCTCAACGGGGGGCTCACCATACCGCAGAGTCTCCTCTTCTTCCAGGTAAGGATTCAGAGTCCAAGATCTGAGCGCTGACAACTAAAGAAGTGTGAGGATTTCAGGAACCTTGACCAGCGGTGTCTCGAGGGAGCTTCAAAGCGTCGCAGTTTCATATCGTTCCCCGCTTTTGGCCTCAAGCATTTTGACAGGCGTTTGGTTGCGAACGGTCACTGTTGATAAGGTATGCTTCGCAAAATGTCAATGGAATCGGTACTTTCTGCAAAGCTTTAAAGTCTTTACCTGGAATGCGGCCTGTACTGCCCTATCCGATTCACGATGGGCCTTCACAGGGTTCCAATGAGGCTCCGGCCACTGCCTCTGCAACTTCTCAGAACCGGTCGTGAAGCTCCTTCACTTTGAGTCCCTTTAACGCCATATTCCGCGACCAATACTAACCGAAGCAGCTTAAGCAGCTTCAGACACTGCGGTTTTAGACTAACCATGACCCACTTTTTCTTCTGCAGTCGTGCATACAATACACTCTGGCGCTGCCGACTCTGCTGATGGCCCTTGTGCCCATCCTGTTTCTGTTCTCGGGCATCTCGCCAATCCACGCCAAAGTGCACGAGTTCCTCGTCTTCTTCATCGGCTACTACCTCGCCAACCGGATCATGCTCTTCCTCGCTCACAGGTAAGCGGGAAACGGCCCTTGTCAAGTCTAAAACTCACAGAGGTTCTTTATGTAACCATGGGCTCTTTGAACGAAACGGAACAGCGGAACGGCCGCGGGTGGGGATAGGAGGGAGATCGAGATTGCTCCTGCGTTTTTTCAAAGAGGATGCCCAAAGCTTGACACATGCCGCATCTGCAGGCTTATCACCGTTTTGTTCTTTGATAAACGTTCCGAAGTAGCATTGGAAAGCTTTGCATAAGAGGGAACGTTTTCCACCGAATCATACTCGCTCGATGGATGACAAAAGTCAAGTCCCTGTTGGCTCGACACCACATTTGGACATGTTCTTTCCATGTGGGTGCCCAACGCTTGTCACAGAGAACAAGTGAACGTTTCAATATCGACGCATCTTAGAGGCGACCGAAATTAGGTCCCTGCTTCCAAGGCCTTGACGGTAGATTTGTACCTTTTCGTTCCAAGGGGTGCTAAAACAAAATGGATAATTGCCATGGCTATACTTTACGTCTGAACGTTTTCGTTCCAGGGGGGTGCCCAACGCGGGCATGGAGATGTGGCGCGGGTCGCAGCAGTGGGTGTGGCTGGTGCCCAACAACCTGGTGTCCTGCTGGAAGGCGTTCTCCACCGAGCTCGCCATCTTCAAGTTCTTCAAGCTCGGCAAGGTGAGCGCGTAACGCGTTGCCGTCTGCTTACATGGGCGGCGGATTTTGACGACCATCAGCAAGTGCTCAGTTTCGGCGTCAGAAACTTCCTCTTGTCATACTGTTGGACGCGCCTGCGGCTCCGGATTTTTTAGAAAGTGCCCGGATTATCCGTGTACACCACCCTTTTGAGAAGACAGTTATGGGTACCTTGCCCTTAATGGCTACTCTGACACGGGCATCTTTTGTCGTTCAGCTCGGTTTCACCGTGACCAACAAAGACGGTAATGACGACTGGAGGGAGGCCTTGAAAGTGACGTGGCCCTTTTTCACTTACTACATCGGGATGACGGCAGGGATCATCTATACCATCGTGTTTGTCGGCATCGGGAGCTACGGCATCGAGGTAAGAAGTCTGCCGCCCCGACTGCGTGTCTCAGGAACTTTGCTGGCCAGTTTCTTCCTAAAGAGCAGGCGTGTCGTTGTTACGTGGAATGTACCTCTTAGGAAAACACCGAGCTACTTGTCTGATTTAAACTCTTCCTTGTGGTCAGACCGCGCAGCGCTTGAGTCTTGGGAAAGAACTGGCATCGCATGAATCGTCACTGACTGAACGCGATCGCACCGAGTTGACGCCTTTTCTTTTCCTCTTGCTTTTCTAGGCTGCAGCTTCCCGAGTTGTGGCTTTCGCCTGGGGGATCCTCGTCTGCATGTACATCTGGCCGGTAAGAGGCCCCGACCGCTCCGCTCGATCTGAGGTAACATTCAATCGACGGCATCACAGAATGGCGTCTACCAGTCCCGATGCTGACTTTGCCCGTCTGCTATACGCACAAAATGTAATTTTGGCTTTTTCTTGTTATGAAACGCGACTCAAATACTTCTCGCACGAATCTCGTCACGATGTCCAAAGAGACGTTACCAGAGGAATCAGAGATTACGGGAGCATGCCCCATATTCTGGCGCCAACGGGCGGCGCTTGCAAGCCGCACTTGTCCTTTTCTTTGGTCTCCCCCTTCGTTTCGTGCCTTCGTTCTACTTTCCTTCCATCACGCCTGCAAAATCCTGCTTAGCTTACGACCATCATAAAGGTCTTGCTTCCGCTCGTAGGACACCGTTAGACAGACGCCGCCTCCACAAACCGCCTTGCATGCGCACGTGCTGTCGTCGATCCCTGCAAGCAATGATATCTCAATATTTTCTGATAATTTCGCAGTCTTCTTGCTTTCTACAAAAGAGATTCATGAAAAGCAGGCGAGCATCTAAATCTCAGGAGAGAGTTGACCCTATTGACCCAAGAGAGAGAGAAACTCTGTGTGAGCAGAGGGAGCAAAAAGGAAAACAATGACGAGGCTCCCCCTCTTACTGAAATGCCTTCCGGTTTCTCTTTTCCTGCTTCGCAATCTACGTTGATCAGTCGGTGACATCCCCCGGCCTAAATATTTCTGCAGCCCATCGAAGGATCCCCGCCGATCTCCAATATAAGCTGGTTGCATGGGGCCAAGCACACGGGCGGCGCCGTCAAGTGGGAAAACGACACGTCACTGGCCTCGCCCGGCTCTCACGCCTCTCCTAAAACCCCCGGACCGGCGCGGCGGCTGTCTTTCCAGCGCCTGAAGTCCTTCGGGCGAATGCCGTCCATCAAGAAGCAAAATGTCGAGGATTTGGAAGGTGAGCTATCACTGGGCGTCGGCGTGTTTCGGACGTCACTTTGCCGACGGCGTCTACACATTCCGGTCAGCAATTTGACGAAGATATCGTTTACCGTGATGTTTGAAAGAAAAGGTGTCACGCTCACCACAACGAACACCATTCTCACGTTTGCAAGGTTGAGTGTTCGACGCACTAACTAGTACATTGTTCTGGTCGTAGGGCTCTCACCATTCAGAGCTAGGGACCAGGGTCAAATCATGGGCAGTCTCGTGCGTTCGGAATGACTTGATCGGGTCTAACTTGGAACAGGGATCAGGCTGGCTCGTGACTCGTAGATCTGAGCCAATGAACGGTGAAACAGCCCTGTCATTCTAAACCCTGCCAATGCTCTCTTACAGCGCCCCAGATTGCAGAGGCGATCGCGATCGTGCCGTCGACTCCCGGCCGCAACGGCCTCCTGATGACACGTCAGCAAGTAATCCCGATCGAGGAGCGTGAGCTCAGCCTCCTGTACCAGATGGTCCGCAAAAACGAGACCGGGGGACAACCGGTCGTGTCTCCGGCCTCAAACGCCCCCGCAATGTCCCCGGTTGAGCTCCCCCGGTCAGCAATTCCCGAGGAAGAGGAGCTGGAAACGGTAGCGGTAAAGAGCCCGGTTGTTACCCCGCGCGGGAGCCCCACCGAGAGTGACACGTCATCGGAGCGGTCGAGCAAGATGGAGCAGTTCAAGAAGATGCAGGGCATTAGCCTCATGTCACTGGACGGCGCAGCAGACGTGGCGGTAAGCGGCCGCGTAATAACGCTTATGGCTCCGCTCTTTCAGCGGGCGCTGGAAGTAATGGAATCGGTTTACAGCCAGAGGTGGGGACCGTCCGATTGCCTTAGGTCTGTTCTGAAGCCGTTTACGCGCGCTCGGCCGCTATAGCACCGTCAGACTCTGGTCGCCCTGCGGATGAAAAGGGCTGTGGATTTGGAACTTGGAAAGTCTTCCTGACTTTCTTCCTCGCGCATCCAACTGTTTGTATCGAAGTTTTCCCTTGCGGATAAACGATGCTCCCTTCCAATCCAAGGCGTCACCTCGAAGCAACACCTCTGCTTGAGCCCGTTCAAACAATATGCACTCATCTCGTCTTTCGTTTCTTGCCAGATCGACATCGCCGACCAAAGCCCTGAGAACCCCATCGAGGACCCGCGCGCCGCGCACGCGCGCAACCCGCTCGGCGCGCTCCTCACCGGCCGCCGCGTGGGGCCGGCCGCGCTCAACGCCCCGGCCGCGGCAAAAAAGTCGCCCATCTCTAGGGCACTGGACGCGCTCGCGCTCCCGACCCCACGCGCACCCGGGCCTACTGCGCGCGCGGAGCCCGCGACGCCCGTCATGCCGTCGCCAAAGGTCGCGACGCCCCCAGTCGCGATCGAAGAGTATTACTCGCTCGTGACGCCGCGGCTCCGCGCGCGCACCTCGCCCCAGCTGCGCGCGCGCATCTCGCCGCAACTGCGCCCGCGTTCGGGCGCGAGCACGCCGAGGAGCGCGCGCGCGTCGCCGCGCGTGAACAACCTGGAGGAGGTCGTCCTGGCGTCGCCGCTGCTCCTCGGCGCGGGCCGGAAGGAGAAGGACTGGCCGAGCGACAACGAGAGCGAGGGATTTGAGGAGTTCAAGGAGAAGATGACGACCCGGGCAACGTACATCGACCACGCGAGCCTGCACGCGCGCCCGGTGTTTGAGCTCAAGGCCGCGAAAACCGCCGGGGGGGAGGGCATGCGGCCCCACGTGACATTCGTCGTGGTGAACACGCTGCTTCTGGCCGGTTTCATTGCTGGGGGGGTGGTTTACGTGTTCAAACTGTCGCTCGACAGCAGCTGGCTGGGCATTCATTGACGTGTTGTACCGGCTGGATGGTCACGGGTTGCTGCCGTTCGCTAAATAAAAGGCGCCTGATGACGTGATAAAAGGCGGAAGAGATAGACAGGCGTTGCCACGTAAGGATAAAGAACGGATGAAGCAAAGAAGGTGGTGCTTGGGACTCACTAATAACTTGGTTTCCGTCAGCGAAAGCTGGAAACTTTACCATAAACTTCGTTAAGCACTAGCAAATTTATCTGAGTTGAGTCGATCAAGTAAGTGATTCGAGGTGCAGACTGACGTCCCCTTATCACTGCGGGCGTTGCATCCGCAAAATAAACCCGTCAACTACTAGACATCTGATCATTTGAGGCTATTTAGTTGAACCACGTAGCTTCTGATCAAAGTTGAAACCAAGATTGTGAAGGTGAATATATATTCTAGGTCCAGTTTCCATTTCCGTCAACACGGCGTACGTCTCAATCAGAACCAGATTGGTTGAATCGTAAAGAATTGGATAGAATCCAGGATCGAGGAGCTGCATGCGTTCAATGTGCAACTTGCGCTCGCGCGCATGTATAGGTCGCTGTATCAACTTGCCGCAGAATCACCGAATGCAGCTCTAATTTTGGAGTTTGTCTTTCAGTGTACAAGCAGCTGAGCATCTGTCGTACATACAATCTCGTTAAATGAGGTCGAGCTCATGGCCGTCATGTGCGGTAGTTGCCAGTGCCGGCGCATTAGTACAGCGCCGCTAGCTAGCTAGCTGCACAATGTCTCACTGAGTCAGACTAGCTTCGGTACCGCTGACCGCAATCGTTTAGCTTAATACATACATACATCACATTGTAAAGCCCGTTATAAAGCCCCATGCTTCGGATACCGAAGCGCCTGGAGCTTGATTGAGTACATGGGGCCGTTTTTTCCAACAAGCTAGCTGGTTGACCTGCATGCAAGATCTTATCGAGATTTCGAAACGGAAATGAGCCGCGTCACGAGTACTAAATCGATTGACCTAGCTACACCTCTAACCCTTCAATCCAACCAGTTATTGACCTTCAGACTACCTATAGTCGCGTCATTTACTGGCTATTTCCGCTTGAGTCTTTCGTTGACCGTACGTCGCCGTTATTAGCAATCACATCATGGCATCCGATCTTGCAGATCGCGATGATGCTCAAATTTGTAGACCGTCTCGACGGTCTTTTGGAGATTCAAAATATGCAAATGATTGAATTGCGGCGGCATGGCAGCCATGTATCATTCATGGTATCAAGCACTACTCAGTAGCCCGCCAGACAAAGATGTAAATGCAAATCTTGAAGGGGCCGCCGCGCGCGACACCGGCGCCCGACGTCGTTCCGCTCAACGCGGTGAACTAAAATCAAGGCGGCCAAAGTGCATGGGTCGGACTTGGCAACGGAGAGGCAAATGAAGTTAGAGTCGGGCTTGGCGAGCATGCATAGTTGCTTAACGTACTTGTGATGTTTAATCTCGACGAAGATTTGGAATGCATTCCAGTTCATGGGGGAACTGCACAGACCTGTGTGCAGTTCTGTCACGTCCGACCTGACGTCAAATGTGCTAAGCTGATCTACCCATGACTCTCAGTCTGCCCTTGCCTATCCTAGCTCAACCAAGCAATTCGCCGCTGCGAGAACATTCTTTTTGAGAGACAGTCCTACCTTCTGAGGAACGTCTAAGGAACTTGATCTATACAGGACTGCCATGGACGAGAATGCCTCGACCTCAAATGTGAAATCTATACATGTCAAGGAGGTGTGCTCGTTTGGTTGCCTCAGACTGAGTGTGTCTCATTAGCAACCAGACAGAAGCTGCACCGTTTAACTCACGAACCTCTCCATGGCTTCCTCGTCCAAGAAGCGACACGTGTCTCTCACGCCCATGAACTTATGCCGGTTCGCTGCAATCACGCTGTACACGGCGTCCCTGGCAAACCTGGACGAGAAAGTCTTCCGTAAGCAAAGTCTACTATGATAACGTCGTTTCAGAAAAGCCGCCGCCCTTGAAGCTGACCCATCTAGACAGCGACTTCCTCAGTGTGACGTACAAGAGTTTGGAAGTTCTTACCTTGGTGAATCATGAACGCTATTAGGGCATCAAAGCCTCCAAATGATTGAGGAAAGGTGACTAATCACCCAAAGCAGGAGGCATTTGCGAATCGGAGTGAATTTTTGAAACTACGAGGGAGACATTGGCAAAAGTTCTCCGCATTGAGTACTTTGCCTAATATTCTTCGGAGGGGTAGGAGTTTAGAATAGGAGTCATAAAGGTACTGGGGAAAGTTCGACAGGTCCGACTCGAAGCAATAAATCAAGTCGCGTTTCCCCTGCGGCAGGGAGCCCCCCCTGACAGGGCTTCAGGAAGAAGAAAAAAGCTCTGCAAAGAAGCGAGCCTGCTCACTTGCATGTTCCCTGCCAGCAGGGAAGCCCCCCTAAGAAGATCCGAAAAAGGAAGAGAATCTTGAAATGGAATTCTGCTTCAAAGCTCACTCGGGCACGCAGAGGCCGAAGCTTCCCAGGCCCTTGTACACAGGTGACTGCAAGCACTGTGCAATGTGCAGGATAGCGTCCGAGTGTGTGTAGGCTCTGTTGCAGAAGACGGTTTGGTGTCAGTGTCAGAGGGATCGCAGAATCAGCATCCGGTCAAAGAGTTCGTGACTGTAACAAGGCCGCCAACAAGCTGGAGACGGCGCTCATGCCAGCAGTCTTTTGATGACACTAGCATAAAAGCAGAAGAACATTTCAATCACAACCACTTTGCAGTGTTAGAATGCGACAAGACTTCTAAAGCAGTTCGCAATATCGACACTAGCGATGGGGAAATGGCCAACAGCATTGTGAGTATTGCTATCACATTTTACCTGTTTGAATACACCATGACCATGCTCGAATGGTCATCCGGCCTTAACCCTGACCGTATCAGCAGCGTCCTGCCGGCTTCGCTTTGGAGGGCCGCATAGCGCAGCTTGCTGGAGAGAGAGAGGCAGATGTCAGAGATACTGAAAGCACTGCTAACAAGAAAAGGGATGGCGCAAGCTGACCTGTCAGCTACAGATTGCAGTCAACAAACAAGCGAATCTGCAATTCTGCTTTGGTGATCTGTGAAGGTCAACGTGTGCTCCTGTAATTGTAGAATTACAATGGCCTAGCTGCTGCAAGCCGTATTAATTGGATTCATTCCAGCTAAAGCCTGTTGGAATTACTTTGAAAACTCGAAAAACTAACGTGCAGTACCTGCCAATCAAGGATTCTTTGACGTTCAAAGTCAAGTCTGACTCACAAATCCGAGAATCTCAGAACCTTAGAAAGGGCTCAGTAAGTGTAGTACGGAAGCGGATTGGAATTAGCGGAAGTATCAGAAGCTAAGATTGCGTCAGTTCAACCTACCCTTTGGGGTCATTGTCAAGCATGAAATTGACCCCTTCATTGCACATGTTGCAGATGCCTGCACGATGAAGAGAGTTTTCGTCAGCATCCAGACTACTTCTTGAAGCCTTAAACTTTTGAGCAGGGCACACAATCAAAACACCTGGAAATCATAGCTTGAGCTACAATTGCTAACATTGCACCTTACAGCAAAGTGCTTCCTTCAATAAAAGGGGATTGCAGATACACGCAGAGCCCAATTGTGCTGTGACAGGTGACCAGCACAGACCGGGTTCAAAAAGTCACTATGAGAGCAGAAGGGTGCAAGTTGTTTGCATTCAATCAAGGACTTATGATAGGCACGCAGTACATCGAGGCTTCTGGCTTGCTCTAATGCTTAATCTGGATCAACAACACACCTGAGACCCACCCCATTTACATTTTCGAAGTCTGGTTTCACACTTGGATGCCTTCAAGAGGAACTACTGAGCTGAGTGAATTGCAATTCTTAGGAGCAATCAATCACTTCAACATCACAACTTCTTGTGACCACTCATCCCTCACCATCAAAAAGCACGATTGGCCTCTTGTCAGTTGCAAACAACTCGTCGCCAGGTCTTGCTTCTGCAGTCTCTTGATCTGAGGCTGAGCCCTTGCTGCTGCTATCTCTGGTGCTCCTATGAGCGGGCCCTCTGGTCGGTGTCACTGGTTCAGGCAACTGAGTAACCTGATTTTGGGCGAGGGACACCCTTGGGGCAAGTGTTTGCCGCTGCAAAGCAGGCTTGGTCCAGCTGCCCTGAAATGTCAGATCTGCTGCCTTTGGAAGGCTCTCTGCATCAGGATGCCGCGTGCTGGACAGCTTTGACAAGATAGCGCCCGTGCGCACAAGCGAGGTAGACAGCGCCATCGCTGCTGCTGCTGCTTTGTGAATTGGAAGCGTCTCCTTTCCAAATGATCTCAGACGACCGTGCACTGCCTGATTTGACCGCTGAAATAGCCGCTATGCTGGTCCCGCCCTTTTGACAATAAGCGCTAAAACCACAACCACGAAGGAATGGAGCAACTGTTGCTTTCTTCTTTGGAATTCTTCCAGCAGTAGGAAGCATTTACAGTTTGCGGTTGCAGGAGAAGGAAAGGTGCGCTGCACAGCTCTCCCAGACCATGGTGAAGAAGGATCTTCAGATCTCCTCAAGCTGCTCTGGTTCACCAGCTCTGGTTCCACGGATATGCGCGTTCGTAATCAGAGCTAGGTACGCGGAATTCGAGCAGCAATGATTGCGGCATTATCACACCAGATACGCAACTTTTCCAACTGGCATTGATGGAAAACCGTCGATGAAGCATGCCTTGATCCATCGACGGCTTGTGCGTGACTGTATCACACGTGCGCGCGCGGCTTGAGCAGCTCAACATCGTGTAGTGGTAGGAGGGGATCCCTTGACAAAGGCTGCATAATGCAGAAACTGAGCTCGAGGGGAACCGGACCTTCAAGTTGTTCAGTGGTCACCATCGGCGCGGCCCAGCTGGGTTAAGCATCCGAAGTCAGCTTGTATGTAAGGTTAACATATGTAGATTCCGGAATTTTAAAAGCTAGCCAGCTAGGAGCTGTGACGTTCTGCAATATTGTGCCCGCGTGAATGCAGGTGCTGCCGACCGACGGCATTACCATTCGGCCTAGTCTAATGGCAAGTGTGTATCAATGCTTTTGGTTGCAGGCTACAGCCTATCAGCCGTGTGCTTATATACAAACTTCTGATCGACCTGACTAGAGTGGTCAGAAGACGTGCTTGTGCGCGTTGTTAGACTCGCCGGAGCCTCGGCGGCTCGGTGCTTGACGCGCAATACTCCACGATCTGCGGACAGCTCAAAGCTCTATCAATGAGCTCGGTCTCGATTCGGTACGGAGTAACGATCAGATGATGTTGGCGCCGGCGGTCAGCTCTGTGTTTGATTGCTGATCAAACGAATACAGCCGCGAATGGATGCTGTCCATTTATAGTGTCGCCCTTAGTACCACGCACATGCATGTTGAAGCATCAGAATGACCTTGTAGGTTTCAATATTTGAGGCGGGGGATGGCTAGTCTACAGTTCCCTGCTTCGAAACAAACAGATTGTGAAAGATTTGATCACGAAACCTCTGGACGCAGGGTTATTGATGCTACTAGCCTGCACGCAATCCAAAACTTATGCTCTGCGCAAGCCTGCAGCTCTGCGCATGCCTTTTCTGCAGGCTACTCTGTCAAAAGTCTCGCCTATGTCTGTCAACGAAGCTAGTGGGTAAAACGTGCCGATGGTAGCGCTTAACTTTTAGACTCAAGTAGCTGCTCTTACGAAACCAGGCTGATGTGTCTGATTCACGACACGCCAGCCGTTCAGGAGCTGTATCTCAGCGGCCCGGGCCTTCAGGCGATGCGGTAGTCCTGTTGGCGGGAATACCGGAGAGGATCCCGAGCGTTTCCACCGGGGCATATGGACTCGGAGTTCCTGGGGGCCCAGGGGTCGGGGCAGGGTCCGCCCCATCCCCGGTGCCCTTGGTCGAGTTCCACACGGCGTCGGTGTTGTTGGTGTTGGCCTGCCAATTGATGATGGGGAGAGCGTCCACTAGAAGGAAGAAGTAAACAATCTGTCGAATTTGGGGCTTTGATAACGTCGTAGGGAGATTTATAAGCAGGTGTTCAGTTTGACCCACGACGAGACATGCTCGTGGTGGGCTTTGAAATCTCGCCGGACTAGGAGGTTTGATCGACGAAACTTTCATCACTCCGTCGCCGGCCCTCTTCCTCTGCAAAGCTAAGCAGAAGGCTCCGAAAGAGTTGGCAGAATCTCCGAAGCAAGAAAAGCGTCAGTCATTGATCAAACGAGAAATAATCTGGTTTTTATGGGCAGATCACGTTCTGGAAAGGAGTCTTGGAGCTGGCAAAAAAATAGAAGTTGCCGGGATGGCAGCCAAGGCAAGCGTACCCACACTCGCATACTGTTTTGCCGCCGAAGCAGAGTCCAAAGTCTCGAGCTTGACGGTCCATTTCGCAGAAGACAATGACTCGAAGAGCCAAGTGACCAGCAAATTTGCTAAATACAGAGGCGGGCGGTGGACCACAGTTCAACGAAGCTGGAGCGAGGGCCAAAGGCGCCTCAGATTCGGCCTTCAACCTGTTCTCTTTCTGCCCTTGTTTAGATCACGCTCAAAGCAAAACGGAGCTTTTTGTGAGCCTTTTCATTGATGCGCTAAGCAGCAGCAGAGTGCCTCACCGGCCGACTGCACTGTGATGATCCCCACCGTCAATTCGGGATCGGCGGGATCATTGAAAAAGTACTTTCCGGTTTCGTTAAACTGGAGCCGGATCTGGAATGGCGCCGTCTCCACTGTATCGATGCCACGCCCAGAGAAGACCGGGGGCCCCTGCTGGCTGACAGCTGGCAGGAGGAAAGAATCAGAGCCATCAGATGGATTAGTCCGGGCCGTTGAAAGTTTCGCCCTGAATCTTGCCATTCTTCTACGAAACAGACTCAGCATTCGGGTTGGCGCCAAGCGAGTAGATTGCAAAGAAAAGGGCTCAATGGAGAAGGAAAAGCATGCTCACAAATGCTCGAGAGTAAAAAGTTGAGATATGTACACCTCGAGGCTTGGCAATCATGACAGAAACAAAGATAGGAAAAGACAGATTGGACATGAGCCAGCAGCGTTCTTGATGAAATGAAAACCCATGGGTGAAGCGGTGTTTGACCATCAAAGACAGGAGTCCTTTTCGAGACCTCGCTTACCCTGGATGCGGTGAGGCAGGCCGTCGCCCCACTGGAACGTCACTGCAAAATTTGTGACCCCAACTAGGATCATGAGTCTGGTCACGAGAGTTGAACACATTCAACACTGGACTCATGGCAACCGTTAAGAGGAGCTGAAGCAACAAGTGATGAAGTGGGCGCAGAAGGCGCAATCCGAAGTTGTTCTTGACGGCAAATAATACTATCATAAGATAGTGGTTTGCGACGTGGTGTTTTGATAAATGGCGTTTAGGGCGTGACGGCCGGCCAGCAAACTTCCCCTTGCTCCGATGTTTTAACGCGCGGCCGCCTCATGGAAGCAGGCAGGCAATCAACTTGCAAACGAAGAGAAGATATTGAAGTGCAGTCATGCAAACGTAGAACTCGCCTGTGTCTCTTGGGTCGATGACGCTATTAATGTTGGCCCCCTTCAACCACTGCACGGCGATGTCCCCCGCACCTGCATGGGCGGTGAGCACTCGGGGATACTTCCAAATATCCACGTCTCCGTACAACAGTCTCTAACAAGCATGATATGCTCTCTCGACGCAAAGCGGCCAGGCGGGAGTTTATTGCGCGCCTGACGAGCTTGATCCATATCAATCTTGGTGAGATTTTCAGACCTGAGCAATTTAAGTGGACCGATGCAGGGCACCTTCCTCAAAACAGGTGGAACATTGACTGACCAGCGCCGAGCGGGTTCCTTTAAGAAGGTCGTCGACCATTCAAATGACGCCTTTATAGTTGAAGACAGAAACCATATGTTCAATGCAAGTGCCCTTCATCCTAGTTACCTAGAGAAGCAAAGCAAATCAAACGGCCCAGTGCCTAGATTCGTCCTTGAGGCCTCAAAGGAGGAGGAGAGCTCCCCAAGCAGAAAAGTAACGGATAAGTCAACTCACCGATCGAGGTAGCTAAGACCACGCAGGTTCCAATCGCCAGAAGAAACAGATTGCTCAGGCCATTGGGCGCCATTAGAACCTTCTGTGCGCGTCCTTCACGTTCTAGCAAGGACGAAAGATGAAACGGCGGTCTGCTGCGCTTCTTGGGAAAGCTGTAGGCGCTGGTTAGTATGATTCTAAAGACCTCTTTAAAAGTGTATTAGCCGATCCAGCTTCATGTATTAAGCGTTTTTTGAGAAGGAAGAGTCTGAAGTCAGCTTGTTGGGCAAGCAGGACTATCTGACCGTGAAAAGCAGACTAGACTAGCTTGCATGAATGAGTGCGAAGTCACTGCAAAGCAGAGAGCAGTAGTGCTGATTTAGCAAGGAAATGCAAACGGTCGTCTATTCGACCCTTCATGATAGGATTTTGCGACACTTGAAATGAAGATTTCTATACAAATAAGTGTTGTGCACAGCCTAAATGTTCGTGACTCCGACGTTGTGAATGCTGCTTAAGATTGATGATGTGAAAGAGACTCAGTAGTGAGTCACTACGAACCCGTAAATATGAAGCAACGTGCACGTGGCGAGGATTCCTTTATACATTGAAGTGCACAACTCTACTATTAGCAAGGATAAGTGTAGGTAGAAGCTACATGAGTCTAGCGTAGCACTTCGAGATTATAATGGTATGATGTAACATGGCAAGCCTTTCAAAATCGGAAATCTGTGCTGAGTGATTGTTAGGAAAGCTGCAAAATCAAGAGAGTACTAGACCTTAGAACCCGAATGAGATTCCCACAGCACTGCCATCGCACCTATCATGCACCTACCTCGTTCTAAACCTCAAAATGAGATTGCACAACATCATGTATAGAAGCGTCGAACTGGCAAATGCCGTCGAACATTACGTTGTAGCGATGTCGGAGTTGTCGAAAGACGGAATCCTTCTTTGCGCCCACGCTCATATCCGTGCGCCATAGTACACACATACATGAAGTGCTTGCAGAAAGGACAAAAATACCAGCTATTGATGTGCGTTGTGGCGAACGGCCGGTCGACTTTGCTATTGATATGGTCACACAATACTGACAAAGAGACTATTAAGTGATCTTTTTTGTTTTAGACTAGGAGTTGGGGCTGAAACTTCTTGCTTTGGTTACTAGTAGGTTCCTAAAAGAGCCCCTATCAAATCCTCAAGGATCGACCTTCCTCATGCCATACCCCGCACTCCGATAAAAGACGAACCTATGCTGATGGCCCTTGTATGACTCAAGCTAGTGCCTACACGTGCCGCTATGGTGGTACTTAATTTCTACAGTCCCAAAACTGCCCTTACAAATGTCTGGGCGCCGGCTCACATGCTCGGAACTTTCTTGTAGCGGCCGGCCGGGCCTTCGGGCGCCGAAGCAGTGGTCTTGCCGGGAAGGCGCCCGGCGGTTTCCACCGGGTAAGGCTTCGGGGTGGCTGTCGCTGAAGGGCCAGGGGTCGGGGCAGGGTCCGCCCCATCCCCGGTGCCCTTGGTCGAGTTCCAGACTGCGGCGGTGTAATTAGTGTTGGCCTGCCAATTGATGATGGGGAGACGGCTCCCTGCAACGAAAACGTCGAGAGTGTATCAGACCAAGGGTTTTGAAAACCATGAGCGGAGAGTTCAATCCTGGTTTCGAATTCTCGGGCGATTGGGTCGAGTGAAGCTCTTTTGGCTGCCGTTGCTCGCGCCAGTTCGGCGAATGGAAACTCGAAGAACATTCTTTGCTCAACGTGCAGCTTTCCTCGAGCAGAAACTCCTCCTCACAATCTCGGTACGAGATGAGTCAGAGAACCGTCCGCCGACTTTTGAATAGGAATCGTTTGGAAAGTATGGGCACAGACGGGGGGAAAATGCATGTACTGCTCGATGCAGCGGGCGGGGAAGAAGACGACATGCAAGAGCTCTCTGGGCGTCGAACTGAAGTCAGCATCTTCCTATTGCAGATTGGACGCGCTTCCACGAACTAAAATCCGGACGAAAAAAGCGGCCACAACGCGCAACTACGCGCATCAAAGTTTCAGGAGTCATTGAATCTGCATCCAACCCCATCCGTTCCTGGTTCAATGTCTGAATCGCTCGAGAGGCGAGACCTAACACCTCCCTTCCAACCTTTTGAAAATTGAATGATTCGAAAAGCTAAACAAAGTACTTAGGACGGGACGACTGACCGGCTGATTGCACGGTGATGATCCCCACGGTCAGCTCAGGGTCGTTGGGATCATTAAAGAAGTACTTTCCGGTTCCGTTGAACTGAAGCAGGATCTGGAACGGCGCAGTCTCCACGGTATCGATGCCCCGCCCCGAGAAGACCGGGGGGCCCTGCTGGCTGACAGCTGGCAAAAGCGAGAAAGGAGAGCCGTCAGATGGAGAATACTCGTTATTTAGTTTCTCCCTTTAAATATCACAACCTGCCGTCAGATGGGTCAATTTCGGCCGTCAGATGGGTCGATGCCTCGGGGGATGCACCAGCATAATCCTTCAATATAGAAACAGTGCTCGGCACACTTGTTCGAAGTAAAACAAACGTGCCAAATCTGCTCTTTGAAGGAGCTCAAGGGCAGTGGGCTCTTGAAATCACAGAAAGCAAGCCAAGAGTGGGATTCGCAGAAAGATGTTTGGTTTGACGAAGATTCGTCGAGTTATTGACAGACACTCACCCTGAATGCGGTGAGGCCGGCCGTCCGCCCACTGGAACGTCACTGCAGAAATCAAAACGAGATGTAGAAATCAGGACTCTTCTCGAACCTGAGTTAGGTTTCCGATAGAAACACAGGTGGACAGAACTTGAAGTATTGCAGGCCATTAGTGAGTAGAATCCGGGTCTTTTTGAGACTCGCCTGTGTCGCCTGAGTTGATGACGCTGTTTATGTTGGCCCCCGTCAGCCACTGCACGGCGATGTTCGCCGCTCCTGCATGACTACGGTAGTGAGCGCACTCAAAAGCTTACAAGTATAGAGTCGCCTCATTCTCAGTATGTCGCTCTTCGAGACGTCAGAACGCTCTTGTAACGAAACAATGAAAAGGGGAATCATCTGGGAGCGTGATCAACACAAAGTCAATGTTCCCAAAATCACCGCGCTGACAATAGACCAGCCAAAAACCATGGAAGTTACTTTCAATTTCACCTAGAACTTAATATTCAAGTAAGAGCGACTCGGACCCGACTGTCGCCAGAAAAGAGTCCCTTCACAAATGGGAAAGCCGGTAAAAATCTCCATCGAAACAAGCCTTAGACTTAGTCGACGCGGCTAAGAATTCAGGTTCGTCCCTGAAAGATTCAAGCACTAAGTTGAGATAGAGCGCCTTGAGATCCGTTTCGAGAACGAGAAGAAGAATAGAAACTGGTATAAGAAAGGAAACCGACTCACCGACCGAGGTGGCCAAGATCAGGCTGCTTCCGATGGCCAGGAGAACCATGTTGCTCAGCCCTTTGGGCGCCATGAGTCGATCGTTGTTGCGATCTGATTTCAATACCTGGCAAGGGCCAAAAGGAGGGCGATGCGGCTGCGCTTCTCGAGAAAGCTGAAGGCGTTTCGTAAAAGTGATGGAAAGGATTATGAGGTGCGTGCCTCAAGAGATGCGCGTTAAAAAGCGAACGTTGTTAGAGAACTAAGAAGCCGCAATCCGCTCTTTAGGATGAAAGATGAGAGTCTTAAATAAGTCTCGCTTCATCGACTAGACGACTTTGAAGGCGCTGAAGGGCAATGAGTCATGAGGCTGAGTCATCAGGGGAAGGTACCAGGATGTAGTCACATTCGATCAATCCAACATCAAGGGATGCAAAGCCATCCACGTCCTTCTGCAAACTGAGGTGGGATCCTATGCTCCGTGGCTCCGACATTGTAAGAATCCGCACCCACCAGATTGTAGAAATACATCCCGTCTCGAGCTGTAGAACATTGATACAACGTGGCACAGATCTTTCATGTTTGATTGCAGCCATTTTAAAACCGGAAGATATCAACGTTGCTGAATCTCTGTGAAGCAATTTACTTCCCAAGATTGGTATCATTTCACCAAGCTTGTGGTAAATCTTGAGGACCTTGCTGAATTCATTGCAAGAGAGGTGCTCCGGACCAATTGAATAGTGACCCGCGAAATGTATGATGGGCTCAATGAACGGCTTCTACAAGATCCGCTCAGCCTCGGTAATGATTTTTAACATATGAACCGTCGAGTACATGCTGTCGTGTTTCTTTGTTGTAGCTATATCGGAGTGTCGAATAGACGTGACACGACAAGACCGCTCTTGAAAAGTAGAGCTTAGGGCAACCACGTATAGTCTCTCGAACCCAACAACCAATTCTTGAACTGTGCTACCATCAATTGAGATCGATTTCTTCATTATGCTTCTGCACGGGTCTCGAGGCCGTGAGCTTCGTACAAATTTGAAAGGCGCTCACGTGACGGCTAAAGGATCTCTTTGGGTACTTTGCGTTAAACACGATTGCAACACCTCTCCGTGACCTGAAGATATGTTGCAGACTCAAGCTCTTAAGCTTCGCTTTACAAAAGGAGACTACGATATCACACCTGCTACAGTATTTAAACGCGCCCTCATTTTCACGAATAAAATGTAGCGTTCGCACCTTGCCTAGTGCATGTGACTCTTATCTGATCCCAACCAGTACTGGACTCTGAAATGAGACGAACCCATCGGTATCCCTGACCTCAAACCAGCTGCCATTCAGCTGAAAACCGCTTCAAACCAGACTAAACCCAGCTATACAACGACCAGAAAAGTAAACCTCTAACCTCGACCTCCAATAAGTAGCATCAACGATAACCCGACTTCGACAACTGTGGTGACAACGTCCTAACCCGTGCTTGCCGCAAGCTAACCGAACCTCAACATCTGGCTCAACTCCGCCCTACTTCAGGCTTGCCGCCAACCCGTTCCCCGGGGCTGGCTTGACCATGTGCTGCTCGCACTTGGGCCCTTCCAGGCGGCAGTACTTGAGGCAATTCTGGCACTTTTGCAGCAGGTATCCACAGCTGCCCGCGGCCGCGACCGCGCCCGCGAGGGCCTCGTCCAGGAAGATGTCCTCGAAGGCGGCCGCGAGCGGGGAGCCACCCTCTGCAGAAACAGGGCCCGGCGACGTCTGCAGGGGCCCGGCAAGAAACTGTCAGGCGGCCTTATTTATCAACTGGGTTGGAATTTGCCAGCAATCGTCTGACAGCACGATGAGCAAGAGACAATATCTGGAGTCTTCCAAATCTGGTAAGGCATAGAGTTTGATAACGCTTGAGCTTTATCAAATACCAATTGCCTGGTTGACACGGTTCAAAGTCTGGAAATTACTGAGACGAAAATCGAGGCGTTTATAGAATGAAGTGGCAGATTGAAGCCCGAGATACACAAGCCAGAGCACGTCCAAAGGCTCAACTTTTGTGACTGATCATCGAACTTCTGAAAGTTCTGTTTGAAAAGCTTAAAAGCCAGCCTACACCTAGTCGATCGCGTTTCGAGATGCTCACCAGCTTGCATCCCTTGTCTCCGTTCGGCGCGCTCGTCTGATACGCTGCGGTGGTCACCAATTGCGGAGCTGCAAAGCGGAACCGACTTCAGGACGGACAGAAACGCTTGACGCCAAAGACCTTCTTTTCAGCAGAAATACGAGGACCAGAACCTGCGGAGACGACCGAACACCCCTTGACTTTACACTGGTCGTTTTTCGTGAACTTTCGAGAGGCACTTTCCTTCAGAACCGTGGGTGTCGTCGCCCGCGTGCAGATCGCATGGAAAGGTTGTCAGAAAGGGGCACCCTTCAAGCGCAGAAGTTAGAAACCGGTGTGAACGTTCATTCATGCTTCCAGTCGGCTTTCGGGAATGCAATACCGTCATAGGTGTCAAAGGATGAAACATGTCGTACCAGGATTCGGAAAGGTCAGTCCACCAGAAGGCGCCTGGTTCCCGTGGAAGGTGTTTGCCGCGGTTCCGTTCCGCCCGGTTCCGTTCTGGTAGAAGGGGACCCACTCGATGGTGACCGGGGTGAAGTTCTGGGCGAGGACTGACGTGGGCGTATCGGGGAGCCCATACAGCTTTCCCTTGTTGGCACTGGAATAAGGATGAGAAGTAAGACGCACGACAGCTTTTCTCGCATCAAGAACACCCGCTTGAAAGTTTCAACGGGTTGGAAGAGGTAACCTCAATTTGTTGCATTGGACATACTTGAGCGTTGGCTTTTCACCTTAACAACGGAATTTCGTCTGCCTGCTGATGCTTGGCCCCCCGCACAGCCTATTGCCTCTGGCACGGCGCACAACAGACAAATTCATCTCTCATGTTGGAGTCGAAGCAAAGTTCTTTTGAGTCAGCCTTTTCACTGACCACAAGACACAAATCTCAGACCTTCGTGCGGAACTCCTTGCCAGAATAAAAGAACGGGGAATCATACCCCTGGTTGATCCCAACAGCTCACCTCGCAAAAGGATTCGCTCCGAAGTTGTTCTCCGGTCCGGTGGCAAAAGCACGCTTCGCAGCCGCGTCTTCTTGTCCCGGGAACCGCGTGGCAACCGGTGCAAGTGGCTGGCCAAAAGGTGAAGGAGCCGAGGCGTGGCGCGGGGTGCCCGGTGACTGGTCAAAAGCGACCGGGGACGGACTGTGGTGGGAAACGGCCGGGGTGTGTTGAAACTGGGCAGCGGCAAAAGCGGTGGGGCTTCCACTGTTCTGCCTCGAAAGGCGGCGAAAAGCTGTCGGGCTCGCGCTGTTCTGCCTCTGGATGCTCGCGCTGTTCTGCCTCTGGATGCTTGCGCTGTTCTGCCTGGCGATGCCCGGGGACTGCGGCTGAGGGCTCGGGGCGACGAGTGTGGGGCTGGGGTGCGGACCGGTCTGGTGGGCGGTAGGGTAAACCGGTGCTGGGCTCTCGATCTGGGCGCTCGGGAATTGAGACGGTGGAGACTGCAGAGCCTGGTTTGGAGTACTCGAGCGTTCAAACGAGTCAGCCGGTGGAACCCCAGCGACCTGGAGGTTCAGGAAGGGGTTGGTAAACACATTCTGGCGGCGCGGGGTGTCCGAGGATTCGACGTTGGCGACCGGAGAGGATGACCGGTAGGCAGACGAAGGCATCGGGGCAGGAGGCTTTGTACCGTTTGGAGGAAGTGTCTGGATCGAGTCGCTCCGGGGGTTATACTGGGCTGTCTGAGAGTTGATATCTGTCGCTGGACACGGAGTGAAAATGGGCGGATGGGGTGGGGGGAGATGCTGCGAGTGGTCGGGGAATGAGACCGGGAAGGGCACCGCAGTCGGGGTGTGAACGGGTGAAGAAACTGCAGAGACAAACAACGAGAGACTGAGAGAAAGGACAACATTGAGGACCAGAACACAGCGACTATCTTCACGCTACAGTTATCGATGCTCAGATCGACCTTTTTCCAGTGGTACAATAAAATCTTGTGTTGGGTTCCTAACTGAAGCGTTGCCAAGATCGCTACGCTTCCTATCTGGGGAAGCGCCCTTTCTACCCGGGACTTCTTGACACTTCAGGAATTGAGACAGCCCTTCACGAACACATTCTTCAAATTTAGCGCCTTTGACCAATGTCATGTGCCTAATATCAAGATTAAGTCGATGGAGGTGAGGTGAGGTGGAGGTCCAAAGTCTTTTCTGTCCTGCCCACCTTGCATCGTGGTTCCCAGTTCTTCGTTCAAGTGCTTGATCCAGTCCTCGTCTCCTCCCATGCTCCCCGCTCGAGCAGGCTGTCAGACGACCCAAAAAAAGATGTGTTTGCAAAAAGCCAACCAGAGAGTATCCTTAACGGTGGCAGCTTTCATGCCATTAGGATTATGTGGCTGTCCGGACTGAACATCATGTGCTTGCGATTCTAGGCTCAAAATTCGGATGGCACTGTCATCATAGAAAGGTCGATTAAGAATCGTGAACACACTTCTTGGAGCAAATTAGCTTTCGTTGCTCAAGGAAGAATAGGTGGAATTGGTACTTTTATCGGGGTTTGGGGAATCAGAGCAGATACCCTGCAGGAGTAAATTACCTGGCTGGCATTTCGGCGGTGCTTCGCGGCCTTCTGAGCGGACGGAGGAAGCGGCGGAAGGAAAGCGGAACGGTCGGCCTTGACACCGCTGGGCGCCGGGGATCCTTTTCCGTTTGACTGAATGAAAATCAAGGCTTCCTAAGTCCAGTCGTGCGCCCTTCGTTGGAAGCGCGAACAAAGTATTCAAGCGCTAGCGCATTGCTACGCGCGGAAACAGCCAAGCCACCCCCTTCCGAGGAGTGCTGATTGGGCGAAAGACCTTCAGACCTTCAAACCTTATAATTGCATCTGAAGCCCACGAGCTTGACATCAAAACTCTCTGATATTCTCAGGAGAATCTGGCAATCCACGAAGTTGTTCCGAACAACAGCAAGGCTTCCCTCTTGGATGTACAACTTGCGATAAAAAATTCACCTCAAGTGGCAGTCTCCTCAGTGCAACCGGTTTTGAGGTGCAGACTGAAAACAAAAAGTCTACTTGTAATAAGCCCACCTCGAAGTCCTTGGGCCGCACTTCGATGCCCTCCGTTCGGACGCCTTGCAGGTAGTTGGACGGCTTCGGACCCTCCGGCCCCTCGTCGGCCCCCGGACAGTACAGCAGTGTCATGGCCGGCTCGCTCTTGGTACGCCGGTGCGGCCCCATCAGCGCGCTCTTGTCCTGGTCGGAGGTTTGGGGTTTGAGCGGGGCGGGTGCGCCGGCCGCGGCCGCGTCCTCGTCGCCGTCCTCGGACTTGGGCAGCTTTTGGGGGGCGTCGTGGCGGGACAGGGGGCCGGGGAGCGAACCCTGTTTGAGATGGAATAGGATGCTGTCAGCGGTACGTTCCACGATATTCAATGAAGGTTGATTAAAGGGCGACATCAGGCATATCTTGCTGTTGCAGTATCCGAAAAGGCAGCCGCAGCTTTTTCCTCAGGTTTACTCTTCTCCTTCTATGTTGTCCTCTGGTGGATAGTCTCTTAAAGATTTGAGAGGGTTGTATGAGCCAACGGAGGAAGTTTGATCCGCACGACAAGAGAAGTTTCCCGAAGAGTGACAACACACACGTGATTGTAGTGTACAAAATGCGGCGAGGCAACCCATCAAACAACAGAAGCCTCGAAGCCCACGAAAGCGCCCTCGGAGCCCCTCACCGCATGCTGGAGCGGCCCCCGGCGTGGGCTGCTGGCTTGGAACAAGCGCGCCTCGGCGTCGCGGTACTTGGCACGCTCCTCCGCGACGCGCGCGTCGTCGACGATCAAAGACGAGAGCGCAGAGGCCTGCGGCGTTCACAAAGATACGTTGTCAGCCCACTGTAGCGATATCTGGTTCCCCAATCTTTCAACTGGGGACAGACTGTCATGTCTGATGGATGTTTCCGGTGACACAGCCTTTGATCAGGATTGGGGTTGGAAGCGGAAACCTGAGAGCATCGAGCCAAAGTGTCTTGGCTATCTCCTTCGAATAGACACCGCAAAACTTCGTTGCAGGAACCTTCAAGACTGTGGAGCCACCTTTCACTCGAGTCGTATACGTAACATACAGGGATGTTTCAAGGATGCAGACTTTTCTTCTGTCTACTTGGGCGATCGAAGGACGGCGAAGTAGGAGGAACCAAAAAGGTATTGCAAAGTTCTCTTCTCCTGACCTCGCTAAGAGCGCTGATTGAGCCAGGAGCTTTGTTTCGTTATGTCCGCTTTCTGACTACGAAATCAGCACTTCAAAAATGAACGCGGATTGTCCTCCTACAACCCTCAATCACCCATCAGGACCAGTCTGGCCCTGCTTCTGTACCCTTACCTTGAGCCGGACATTCTGTCCCAGGTCCTTTCCGGACCCTGGCTCCTCGAACTTGAAGGAGCTTTTCAACTCGTTCACCTGCACATCGTCTGGGGATTCGGAAGCTAGCAACTTGATGTTTATTTGCATCACGAGAATTCTACCGTTCTCGAAATCAATCATGAAAGTTTGTGACAGCCAGACTCAAGGAAAGAACGTGGAAGAATCTCATCCAGACTCCTTCTTAGGGTTTGACAGAGAGTTGTGGACATGAAAGAGAGCCCTCGGGAGGATATTCGAGGCCTTCAGTTTCCATAATCTGAGGACGTCATTTCAAAAAGGTCGAAATTGAGAGCCACTCAGAAAAAGTTAGCCCACCAGGTCGACATGCTCTTTGAGGTCCTGGTGCACCTGCTCCACTCCCCGCGTGCACAGAAACTCCAACAGGATCAACGCCTTATAAATCTTGCGCCTGCACAAGAGGGAAAATACCAAATAGTGAAAGAATGGTTCGGCGCCGATAGTTTGTCTCCCTCGAGCGAGCATGGATTGCTAGTCCCTCAAAAGGATACTGGAAGCTCAGCCAGGTTGAGGATCCAGAGCAACCAGCTCCACTTCTATTGGTCGTGTCAGACATAGACTCCCTTCTTCAAGTTTTGACCACCTGATCACCGAATATCTTGAACCGATGAAGCCTGTGGATTTTCAGAATCACCGAAGCCCCTGCCTCAAGAAGTTTTGGTCTTTTGGATGTCCCGCGGCCTCTGAAATCCTCGACTGCACTGCGAGCTCCTACCGAATCTTCTCACCAGTTTCTTGGTTCGTCCTCGAGTCTCTCCAGCAGCGTATTCATGATGCGTGGGTAGTCCATACAGCTGCAAGTGGCATTGGCGATCTCCTGCAAGAGCACACATTGACTCTGTTTCAGCGCATTGTCGAGCTTTTGACTCATGATGAGCGAAAAAAGCGTCATCCGAGAGCAAGGGTCGTAGTTCTTGGAGACTAATCTGTGACGAACAGTCAGAGAAAGCAAGGTGCTTTTCTTCGATCTTTATCAGATATTCTCTCTCTTCTGGTCATCAGTACCCCTAAAGAGTAGAGTTCGGCTAGTCAAGGGATGAATGTAGCAGAAGCCCTTTTGTTAAGAGGCTTTGATAAAAGACATCTGGAAACCAGAACTTCTCGATTTTGACCCTCTGTGCTCTGATCTTGCTCTGTCATTCTTGCTCTTAGCAGGATATTAAAGAGCTCTTCGTTTACGAAAGACTCTTTCCAGTCTGCACATCCATCCAAACGCCTCAATCACCTCTTCTACTGGTCTTTTGCTGGTCTGGTCAGGCAGTCAATTGCAGCCTTTGGAACAGGAACTTTCTCACTTTTGCTAAGTTTGTTTCATTGCAATTCCTAAATCGATAAACCTTGCAATCTGATCAAGCCTTACCTGTTTCCAATCCAAGAGCTTCATGCAAGCAACGATTCATACTCTGCCATGCACCTTTAAGAAATCGTGCTTCTATGCGCACTTCCTTCTGAGATTACAATCATAAGACACCTACAATTATCAAGCTTAGCACTGTCATTCTTTCTACAACGTCAAGCAGTATCATACCCTGCAACCCGCATACATGTCGCCCTCCCTGCATTGCCACAGCATGCATTTGAAGACTGTCTGGTTTCGTCGCCCCCTGTTATGCCTGAATTCAATTCCCAGATGACCTTTTGTTAAGGCACACATATCCGCATGAATGTGGCCACAGATTTTGACCTACCAGGGAAGAAATCGACAAACTTTTCTGTCACACAACCCTTGTTGATCGAAGCACAAAGAACTCACCTTCATCTGCGATCCCAGGGGTCCCCATGGCTCGCTGTTCGTGGCGTTCTTCACAGCCTTCACGATGGCAGGCTCTGCAGTCACTTTGCTCTTCGCCGTCTTCAGGAAGGACTTCATTCTGGATGGAGGAGCGCAGCGCCTGAAATGCAGGCTCTCATGCACGAACACGGATGGAGCCCTGGAGCAACCGGCTGCACTTTGGAGCGAAGCAGAGGGTTTCTAAAGAGATGTCTCGAAGAACCTCCAAGACTTTTTGAGGCGCGCAAAGTGACGGAGCGCGGAGCCTGATCTGAAGGTTCTCACGAAGAGAAGAGAGATGGGAGTGCTAATGGAATCGGCTGCGCATCGAGTGATATGAAAGGTCTTTGGATTTGCAAGAAGAATTGATTCCAAGCGCAAATTTCCTCGGGGCAAGGTCTCTCAGCTCCTTCTGCAGTCAGGCCCGACAGCGATTTAAGAAGGCATACTGTATCTCGATCTTGATCTGATGAGGTGAAGTCTGGATTTTCCTTCGATTTTGTGCCATGTTGAGGCCGATCGTCGCGTCAGGATCGAGCTCTAAGACACTCTAAGATTACCATTCTTGTTGACGCACACCAGCTCGTCAACCCTTTTTTGTCGTTTTCTGTCGGCAGCTGGTGAGAATGCTAATTTGCAGAGGCACGTGGCAGAGTCCGACTGGTCGACCCCCCGCCCATATCGAGCCTGAAACGTTCTAGCGGATCTCAGAAACACTGGAATCTACTGTAGTACGATGGTCATACCGGCCAGTAACCAGAGCCTGGAGATTCAAGGGCAAGCTCATGGAGACCGTAAACTATGCATGATATACGTAGTTGTGAGTACATAAGGTGCCGTGAGGAGCTGTGGTTATTCCTCTTTGAGCTGATCGAACTCCTGTGCTTGTCTGAAGCTGACTCAATGCATCCACAAAACCGCATGCATGAGGTGACCGCAATCAGCCCTTTCGCGAGAGATCGCCTCACTTTGACTTTTTCCCCCCCATGTTTTCTGAATCTTATATATATTGCAGCCGAGTTTGGGTTCACGGTTCTGTCAAGGCACGAACAATGACGGCCTGCAGATGGCTTCCACGGCAGCTCAAGGTTTGAATTAAACCCTCCCTCATACAAGTTCAGGCTGCGGCGAGGCAGCCGCCTAGCTAAATGATGGATTGATGCAACCATGGCGCGGCCAGGTGGCCGACCTAGTATACTGGAGATTGCTGACAAAGACCAACTTACGAGGCAAATCTCCCGATCAATGTACTACCGAGGAATGACGTGCTTTGAATGTGATAGGCGAAAAGCCAGACCGGCCAACGCGCTGAATTAGGACTGGCACATTTATAACCAGTCAACCAATAACATGCGCGGCGGGAACGTGCACCGCGCACTTAATGCATATTCAGACACAACTTTCTTCCGAAGATCAGCCGAACACAAATTCGCTGGGCGCATGCCGCACTACAGAGCTCAGTGCCGCCAACCGTACTTCCATAATGTTTCCAATAGGTGTGACACATGCAAGACTTGACGAGCGGTGATCGCTTCTAGCGCCACCGTGCAAACCTCAGCTGGGTGGATCTTCAAGATAAAGCGGTACTCTCGAACTCGCTCAACAGGCAGGTGCACAGCCGTAGTGCCAGATTGGTGGATTAAAGCTTGATAGAGAATTAGCTAGTAAGTTCCAGTGGTTTCGGCAAACTGCGCACTTGAACGGGTTAGCAAGCGGCAGCTTGAGAATTTGACAAGAGCCGATTACGATTGATGTCAAGGCTGAGAGCCATTTGTGTCCAGGCCTTTGGACTGATGTCCAGCCCCGTCTGGCATACTTCAGTCAAATCTGAAGACCAAGTGTATACTGTCTTCTTTACCTGCTGAACTTTACCTGTGCTTTATTCTTGCAAAGGTCCCCCACAAGTTTCACCGCAAACTCAGCTCATCTTCAGGCCCGTTCATCTTAGAAATCGAGCCTGCCTGAAAGATCGAACCCTGTCTAATTGTTTACCCCCTCGATATATCCATTCTCAATTCAAAGCGGTCAAGCACTGTGCTTCCTTGACAGTGTATCAGCCAAGCTGCTTGATCGCCTGTTCCATCCGAGTCACGGACTTCTCGATCGTGGCCGTTGCATGGCCCAACTCAACGCACTTCTTATAGTCCGCGAGTGCCAATTTGTACTTCTCCGACCCCTCGTATAGGAAGGCCCGCTTCAAGATGACCTGCATGGAAAGCCAACAACAGGCCACATAAGACTGCCGCTGGGAAAAAAACAAGCTTTTGGGGGGCTCAAGTCGCTCCAACAGCAAAGACCATATTTTCATGAGCAACCTCCTGGAGGGTTCTGTACATTAAGAAGGCTGTCCTGCCTTGTAGTGCCATGCCGAGCACCAATACATGGCCTCGAGAATCAGTTGGCGACCATGTCCTTTTTGCCTGCCTGCCCAAAATCTCGGAAGGCACAAGAGGGAACAATCGACAACCTATCGTAATACACAATCACAGAAGAAGATTCAAGTGGCCACAACCCCAGACTACGCTCAAGCAGCTGATTGCAAAACGGGATCCCTTGGCGTGACAAACTCTGTGAATACAAGCGCGCAGCAAAGCCTATCGAAGTTCAATGACAAAGCACCACGTACCTTGTCATTATCCGGTTGAAGCTGGATCGCTTGTGTCATGTCAGCAATGGCCTTCTTGTGCTCTCCGTTCTCCTTGTTGCTTTCTGCGCGCTTCAGCAGAATCTGCACCCAGAACCCAGGAAGTTGTAAGAATAGAAGTTGTAAGATAATAGTTCTGGAGAAAGACGCCATTGTACAGAAGCTGGTTGGAGTCCAAGAGCTCAGTCAACCCATGCAAGGACAGCTACTCTACCCGACTCAAGCTCCGGGCATGCCGCTTATGACCCAGTCAGTTCCTGGCTTCATGTAGACAGCTGCTCAGTGTCTGCGGCTTCCTTGTCGGATCCGGGTACTCATATTTACAAATTCAACAGCGGCCCCTGAGGGAGTACTGAGACCCCCAATCCTTGTGCATCGGAGGCAAGAACATTCACGCGTCCTCTGTGCTTCGATTCCAAGGCACCTGATCTCTAAAATTCTGTCCTGAATTTAACCACTATAGCAAAAGAGGTGAGCCACGTGGCAGGAGGGAAAGGAGAGGTGCAAGTATTTATAAATTACCATGACCATGGTGTCTGTGTCAGACGGGTTGGTCAGCTGCAGCGCCCACGTGTACCACTTGATGGCATCAGCATAGCTCCCCTCGGACAGCGCTTGATTGCCCTTTGTAGTGGCACTCGCCCCATCAACGTTGGCAGGAGGTGGGGGCAGGTTGTCAACGTCTGCCGCCGCCTCACCTGCCAGAACAAATGAAAATTGAGCTGCTGTCGAGGAGCTTCAGCTTTGGAAATCTGCCTTGATGCATACACAAGATCAAATTGCAATATCTATAATGAGCTCGGAATATCAAAGGCCTCTTCTGAGAGCTAGTAGCTCATCAAGTAGATCTGCATATCATGGCTGGTTGCTCGTTTCAATAAGGTTCGGCAGATGACCCAGGAAAGGCAGCAAGGCTGCTGAGCACACACTTACTCATTTAAAGCCTGCAGAAATATGGATTCCAAGCACTTCAGCTGCCTTTCAGGAGGCCGGTTCATTCTTACCTGGGGTGGAGTAGCTTGATGTGCTGCTGACCCCGGCGCTCAATCGGCTCTGCACAGAGGAGCCTCCAGCAAATGCAGCCAGCAGATCGTCCGTGCTTGGCGCCGCAGCAGCTGGAGCTGGTGCAGCTGGTGCAGGCTTGGCAGCGGGCATCCCAAGACCTTTGAGGAAGTCATCAGCACCTGGCAAAAGACAAAAAATCACATGATCTTCAAAGCCTGACCAGACTGCGCAACAAGGAAGTCAACTTGAGGGATATGAGGTGGCTCTTGCACATTTGAACCAATGAGGCACGGGCAGAGAGCTGGACTTGCTCTCAGTCCGGATTGCGCTGTCCGCAACGAGTCTATAAAGGTTTCCTCTGGCAGAAAGATGCAAGACATCACTTTTTAACTTCTGATAGCAACATGAAGGAAGGACTGCTTCGCAAACAGCCGCGGTTCCCAAAGCCGTGCTGAAGCAGCCAAGGTTGGAGTCCGAACTAGAGTGCATCAGTTTGAACAGCTGAAACCTTTGCCTCCGATCATAGACAAACCCTAAATTACTGTGGGGGTGCTAAAGAGTGGCTGCTTGTGTCAGCACCACATCATGTTCTGGTCAATCTGTGAGAAACAGCAGTGCACATTCAGCAATTATATTACGGTTCTAATATCTATCTTCTTATGACCACCTTTACTGAGCCACGCTTGACCGTATGACACAGATCCAATTTCACAACGTTAATACGATATCTTTGGGTTGGTCAGCCTCAACTCAAATTTTGATTTTAGGTTCTTGTCCGGGTTGAGATTAGCCAAACACATTGCAGGCAAATACTCGGGCAGCAAAATCCAAGTTAGATGAATGCACCATGCTTGATGAAGTCCTCCACGGATTTGTGCTAGATTTGCACCACACTGTTCTGCTTGGCTGCATAATTCTCATGTGGACCCATCAGATCTGCCTTCTTGCGTATCGAATTCTCCATGACGACAGACGGCAACGGATAATGCAAAGAATGGGTCCTAAAGCACAAGGAGTATGTCTTCAGCAACGGACCAGATTTAGGGAGATTGGACAAACCAATCGATGCAATCAGGTCCGTTCTTCCACAATTGCTGGAAAGGATTAGAGTTAATCAACTGCTAACCTGCGGCGGGACTGCTCCATGAGGCTTGTGATTGCGTTGCTGGGGTTGGGCTATTCTTTGTAGGCGTTTTTGCTGCGCTCATTGGGCCAGAGGGTTTGCTTGCACCGAAGGCACCCCCTAACAGATCACCGAAAACATCTCCTTTAGGAGCAGCAGGCTTGCTCGGGTTCAAGAATCCAGCCTTCATCTTCAGTCGACAAGACAACCAAACCTCACTTTGTAAGGGTTGCTGAACAAAAGAAGAACGAAGCGCAGCCCAATGGTGCCGCGGGTATTAGAGCAAGGCGGATTGGAAATGGAACCAAATCAGGATGATCTGAGGAACTTCTTGAGGAAGATCGAGGATGTGAGGACTCAGCAGGAAGACCGTTGCCCCCCTGACCAGTCAATCTTCGAGTTGACTTGCAACTTCATGACTGCGTACGACTGTAGTTTACAACATTTCAGCTGGCGGACCGCGGGTATCGCATAACTTCGCGGCGAATTATGGACTTCGTCGCACGATCGACCCGGTTACCCGGTCGACCATCGAACATCCCTACCGCGAGAGGATTTTCGGGCTGTTTTCGCTTTTTCGATACGAAGTTCCTTGTCGGTCCGTGACGTTTTTATTGCTTGAGTTGTGTGAATCCCCGACGTGGTCTGGACGATCTTTTCGCGAATACATGGAATATCTTTATTTTGGTCGGCCAGCCGCCATATACCTACCTCAAAAAAATGTAGCCCGGTTTGAACAAGCTTCTAGAATCTAGGCTCATGAGGGGAAAAACACGGGCTGTTGAAATTTCAGTTGGGACTAATATTGCAGATTTATTACGAGCCCCGAATGGCTCTGTGCACTGCACCGTACCTGTTACCAACTTCGATCGCACTTAACTCCAGGAAAGGTGCTCTGCCCAGTGCCCAGCCTCTGCCAGCAGGAAATTGCACAATCCACACGCCGCAGACGTGAGCTTCAAAGGTTTTGCTGGCGTGCAAGAGAGTTGGAGGGACCCCGTGGAAAGAATTCCAAAGAATCAGCACCTCTATCAATCGAGGCGCATTGCATCAATTGCATGCACGTATCAACATCTTGCTGGCGGCCCGCCAAAAAACACCAATGCGAGTGGCTGTTTTTTCGGTTCAGAGGCGTCAGAATGCTGCTAGGTGTTGGCCTGAAGCAGCCTAGGACTGGTGCCTACTACGAGAATTGAGTATGAGGTAGATGCTTTTTACAACGCCTTGACAGCAGAGGGCGTTGACTGCCGCGTAGCAATAGGGTTTTTGTCTCGGGTAATCATGGTCGACAAACTTTTAGATTTCACCCAGCCTTTTGACGTGCCGCTTCTGGACGCGACAGTCCAAGCATTCTACGGCACGGGGTCGAAGGAAGAGGTGAGGCAAGCAGGGGCCAACTTCAACTTTGATGTTGGTTGGGCCAGTCTTTGTGAAACGGGTTTAGATGATTCGGTGGGCAGGGCTGATGGTTATACGACCATTTTGTATCGGTTCGTGGTTTGTTCAAGCAAAGACAGAATCCGGCAGGCACCAGTCACTGAAGTGTGCCGTTTTTTAGTGGTGCGAAAACGACATTGAATTGACCAGCTTTCAAGATCAAAGCAAGCAGATAAGCGGACAGATCTCACTGGAGGTGGTTGCTTTGACAATCGCTGCTCAAGAGGGGACCAGGTGATGGCTTGGGTGGCGTCGGCCAAACGCTGAGCTAATTTGACCTTGGCAATCGAGCCATTGCTCTTTGAACAGCCTGCTTGGAAGTGCGAGTCAGCGCATTAGTGCCATTCAAGCAGACTCCAAGCAAGCGTTGCAAACATGTGGCATTTGCTCTCAGGAAGAATCGTATGAAGAATGACATGAATCTGCTCGTAAGCAACTGTGTTGGTTATGGTGGTGACTTTCATAGCTCTTGATAGATGCGAAGCGTCAAGGCGGGGATGATTTCTTGTTTGAGCAATCCTGAGTTATAATAGTTGTGTGTCAGGCTACAGAATAAGCTGGTCTGAAAGTTGAAAAGGTACGCAAGCCTTGACTTGCCCGAGCCGAGGAGATTTGTAAAGACCGGTATATTCTGGGAAACTTCAGAATGAGAGTGGTGTTCGTCTGGCGACCAGCAATAAATCTCAAGGAGCTCTTGTGTCTTGAAAATCTCCGTTGGTCATGGATTGGAGAAACCGGGTTGCTACTTGTCTTGTGTTGGATTTAGCATGGGTTTCTGCTTTTCCCCAAGAATGGTTCTCACGAATCGTGCAAAAAGCTGTTTGAGAAGCAAGTATAGTGACGGAAAACACTCGACTTTGCAAATTCTCTGGTTTGCCAGGGCTACACCGTGGCTCTGAATTCATGTTTGTTCATAAGTAAGGGGATTCTTTTTTGCACTCCTAGAAGATGCTAAGTAACGTGTTCAGATTCAACTTTGACTTCCTCACATTTTTGAGGAAGCCCAAAGGCCGCTTGTATTAGCAATTGCGGGTTAGGGCATCCTCTCTTCAAAAGGAAGTCGGAAGTATGTATCAACCAGTTGCTTCAGACCCTGCATCGGCATCTTGAATCAGAATATTAACAGTGCAGGAGTGCAGCGCAAGTCAACAACTCCTCTTGCGCAACTCAAATGCACCAATTCAGGATTGGCACACTGCCGCAATGAAACAGAAAAGAACCTTCTTGGCCTGCAGAGATCTGCAGCGGAACGGGTTCTACGACAGTTGCAGGAGCACCCGGATACATGGACCCGGGTGGTGGATATCTTGCAAAAGAGCCAGGTCATCGACTCAAAGTTCTTCGCACTCCAGGTATCCCTCACAACCTCTGCTTTTCAGCAGCGAACCAGCTCTGCTTAGTGATTTGCTGTATAGTACCACTTCTTCTTGATTATGCAAGTTGCTCCGGGAAATTTTCGCAACCTTTTTTCCCCCAGTAAGGAGCAGAAATGTCCAAGTAGCCCGTGTCCTTTGGGGCTTGAATCTATAAGAGAGCTTGTTCCGCAAATTTCAAACAGGTCCTGAGCAAAGTCTTGTTGTCTGTACAGGTGCTCGAGGGAGTCATCAAGTTCAGATGGAACGCTCTGCCGGTGGAACAGAGGGACGGGATAAAGAACTATGTGTCAGAGCTCATAGTGCAGGTAAGCATTTCCCCTTCTTCTAGATTCGACAAACCTTCTACTTGCTTTTGCTTCTCTATCGAGTTCGACGAGACTTCCGCTTGCGCCCATGCCACCTGTCACAAAGGCTATTCTTTCAGCCGCAAATGCTACAGTGTCTGCTTCATTTGGCAGAGAAGATTCTTGATGGACTGCTCTCGTGTTAGGCATGAAGCAAAAGCCCATGTTGACAGTGGGACACATTTCTACTCTTTGAGCCACGCAGTGTCTTGCTATCTTGGCTAAGCGACTCATACCCATCGTTTTCTCCCTGCAGTTGTCACGAGAAGAGCCCACATATCGAAGGGAGCGGCTCTACATCAACAAACTGAACATCATACTCGTCCAGGTAAAAGCTCACGGCTCTTACCTTGTTTGCTAAAGAGTGCCGACACCACACTTGAAGTTTGACATTTTGGCCGAACAAACGTTTGTGCTGCTTCCGGAGGCTCGTTGCTGGGTAGCCTCTTTCAAAACGATAGTTCAGAGCTGTGTAACCCTCCGCTACATCAAGTAGTTCAGTGGGTCTCTGTGCCGCGCCCTCTTCTCGTGTCACCAGAGTTTGTTGCTTGGATTTGTCGCATTGGACCAAGGAGCTGGCTGTCACTTGCGCAGGTCTTGAAGCATGAGTGGCCGTCTAAATGGCCGCAGTTCATCCCCGACCTAGTGGCCGCTGCGAAGAGCAGCGAGACCCTTTGCGAGAATTGCATGGTCATCCTGAAGGTAAAAGCGCCATCAGTATCGGACAGCCGAGCATGGCTCAGCATCACAGGACCACTTCGGGCCTTGATGTGGGAACTGTAGTGCAGAAGTCCCGTCACTGAGTGTTAGCGTTCGAGTCGAACTCAAATTGATCTTTCAACCACCTGCCTTTCTGACAAGGGCGACCGACACTTACGATTCCCGACAACTGTCCTCAAGATGAAAGGATGCTTTCTGAAGCGATTGAATCCGACAAGGGTTTGAGTTGGGGCGGTTGAGGCGCAAGCATTCTGTAGTTGCCAAGGTGCATGGCCGTCTCGAGATGCCTTCAAGCAAACGATTCCTTCAAGCCGAGGGTGTGGAGGCATATGCAGGAATTCCAGCCTACTAGCTGCTTCTTTGTTGCACGACGCAAGTGCTTCCGCTACCCCCAGTCTGCGGCCATGATAGTAATGATCATGCTTTCTTTCTGCTTGCAGCTTCTGAGCGAGGAGGTCTTCGACTTTTCGCGAGGGGAGCTTACGCAACTCAAAATCAAGGAGCTCAAGAACTCGCTCAACAGGTGAGTGCCGAGATCCCAACTGCAAGGCTGTCCTGGATCGGACAGGCCTCTCCGAAATTATTGTTTGGTCAAGGAGATTGCAAGGCTGGTAATTGCCTTTTTGAGATCAACTCTTCCTCAGTACTCAAAGCAGCTTTTCAGCGGGGTTTACATGCCAAAAGCCCAATCACGTATTGGGCGTCACGATTACTCTCGAAGAAGTGGTTCCGATGAGAGCTCTACTTTTGTACGTTTGTGCGCAGCGAGTTCCAGCGCATCCACGAGCTGTGCATGTACGTGCTGTCGGCGTCCACCCGGCCGGAGCTCATCCGGGCGACCCTCGCAACGCTGCACGCCTTCCTCTCCTGGATCCCGCTCGGCTACATCTTCGAGTCGAACCTGGTGAGACAGTTGTGATGAATCAGGTCAGAAAGATGTTGACTTCGATTACTTTCAGCGGTTTGGAATGAGTCGTTCGGCGGCACTTGCAAACGAAAGTTGGACGTTCAAAAGAGGTGCTTGCTTGGACGAAGCGGAGTACTTTGTCGAGTTCGGTGGTTACGTTTGGAGCAGTCTTGTTGTCCAGACTAAACTCGTACAACTAATTGCAAGTCGAGTCCCTTACTCCCTCAGTCAAGTACTTTGGTGTCGTAGCAATAACTAGTTACTTTGTCATGCGGAAGTTTCCAATCTGAGGAACCCTGTGCGGAACGTGATCATCCTCTATCTTTGGTTGTGCAGCTGGAGATCCTCCTGAAGCTGTTCCCTGCACCCCCCTTTAGAAACCTCACTCTGCAGTGCCTCTCCGAGGTGAGACCCGCATCTCAAATTCCTTCACCTTTTCTGGTCATCTGCTCTGCATAGAGTAGCACTAAGCACTAAGCTCAGGATTCAGCGTCTTTGGCACACAAGGCTCGCTGTGCAATTGTTGGAGCGCTTGCAGACTGCATCATGGGACATCCAGCGTGTGCTTTGATTGGCCTCACTTTAATCAAGTCAGCAACCCCCCCTGGGCCGTCATTCTTGTCACATTCCGCTTCCCATTATCTGCCTCGATACAGAACAACTTAGCATGAGCGACTGGCGCTCCATTCCAACGCAAAGGGCAAGCAACACTGTTGCAACTGACGAGACACCAGACCACTGCTGAGACGATCCAATTCAGACGCAGCCACTCCTGCGTTGTAAAGTGGCACACTTTTTTTGGGTCCGAAATCGTTTGGCAAGAGGAGAAATGGATTCTTTCTTGCAGGTGGCGGCCCTGAGTGTGGGCGACTACTACAACGAGCACTTCGTGAAGCTATACACCATTTTCATGGCGCAGCTCCAAGGCATCCTGCCCCCCGGGACCGATATCCCAGCTGCATACGCCGCTGGCACGGACGATGAGCAGGTAGACTCTACATCCGTCCGACCATCGCTCTCTCGAGAGTGGTGTTTCAAGCCGGCCTGAAGAGTCGGCACCACTAGTTTTCAGACTCCAAGCGGATGTCGACTTGTTTATAGTACGTGCCAAGTTGTCCGGGATTGGTGCGAGTCATGTAAAGCTCTAGATACGGGTCTATTCGAGCGAGCACCTGAGTTCAGAGTGTCAATCCTGACCGGACAGACTGGCGCAAAGTGACAGTGGAATAGCTGACCGCAAGTTCAGAATAAGCCCCTGAAGTTCAAAGTTGAGAGTCTGCTTCCGAGCCCAAGTTGTGTTTGACGGTTGTCTCACGCTTGCTTGTCTCGTTTCTACAGGCCTTCATCCAGAACCTCGCTCTCTTCTTGACCGGCTACTTCAAGGTGAGCCACAAAGTAGCTGCCAACGAGAGGTTCCGTGGCATCGAGGTTTGAGCACTTGGCACATCAGACCGGGATCCCGTGTGCTTTTGTCATCGTATGTGTTCCGAAGCTTTTGCACGCTTCTGCGCCTTTCTTTATCAGTCATGTCTTCTCAAGCTCCCACTTGCCTCGTGAAACTGTTCCGCATGGACCCTTTGATGTCAGAAGATGAAACTATCCTCGCTCTTCAGCGATCCGGAACCCCTTCCTTTTGGATCTTTGGTGACTTACGTCATCACCTGTTCTATTCTGTTCTGCAGTCTCACGTCGCTGTCCTGGAGGTGAACCCCGAGACGAAGCCAGGCCTCCTCTTGGGCCTCGACTACCTGCTCAGCATCTCATACGTGGAAGACGTGGAGGTCTTCAAGGTATACTGATCTTTGAGTACTCTTCCCTTTCTTTGTTCTGACATTGTGTGATGAATATTCGCAGCTCGCTTTGAAGTGTTTGCGCCCTTGTTCCGGGGCTGTCCGTATAATACTAAGAAGATTACGTGTAAGTTTCCAACAGCGGTCAGAAGAGGTCCCCAACTTTTGCACACCCGCTTTCTTCGCTTGGCGTGATTGGCACCGCTTCCTGCCTCCCAATGCCTTTACATGCTGTCCTGCGAAGAGAACACGTTAGCTGCTGATGCCAACGCCTACCGACCTTGCTATTTACGCAGCAATCTCAAGCCGAAATCCGCCACCTTGCGTGAAAACTGACACCACACCTCTTCTCGCAGGTGTGCCTCGACTACTGGAACATCCTGGTGTCAGACCTCTTCCAAACGGAAGCCAATGCGGAGCCGGCCGCGGCGCCGCTGGGCCTGCACATCCCGGCGGCCAATGGTGCGGGGGGGCAGACGTCGGAGCGCAAAAAGCTGTACTCAGTCCCAATGTCGAAGCTGCGGCTGTTGTTCATCAGCCGTATGGCCAAGCCGGAAGAGGTGCTGATTGTGGAGGACGAGAACGGGAACATTGTGCGCGAGACGATGAAGGACAACGACGTGCTGGTGCAGTACAAGGTGAGCTCAGAGAACGCTTTTATGATCGGCTCCTACTGCGTCAAAAGTCTCTGCAAAGAAGTCCACCATCTTCACTCTTGCAATCACGTGAACTGTGTCAATGGCTTGTTCTGTTTGCTGTTGTGTGCTAGACGTCCGCTGATGCTGCAGGTTGGTCCTAATGCAATCTTCAGATTGTCACTCACTTCGTGGTCTGGAAAGTGGTTCGAAGACGGTGTGGAAGGGCAAAGGGCTGAAAGGCTAGGACACTTTACAGCAGGAAAAGATGAATCTCCCATCTTTATCCAACTATCGACGCTCAACTAACGCTCACTCAAAGTACCCGCGATGATGTGCTGAAAGCTTCGGCTCTTGCCCTTGCAGATTATGAGGGAGACGCTTATCTACCTCTCGCATCTTGACCACGAGGACACGGAGCAACAGGTGAGGTTCTAATACGCAACGGGATCGGTTCTATGCAGACACGTGGTTTTCGGTCTTCTTGCTTTACGCATCTCTTTTGCACTTTCGCAGTCAGTCTGGATAAACCCATCAGCATCGTTTTGAATTTGCACACATAGTGTAGAAGTTCGCTCTCACCAGATTGGTTGAAGAAGCTATCGTAAGACTCTGACGGCTTCATCAATAGTGAAGAGAAGCCGTTCTTGAGCAATGGATATCAGACCTGGTGACAGACTGTACATCTGTGAATCGGAGGAGCGAGCGTGCATTTTGCTGTCTTTCCATGCTCGAAGGCTGGACTAGAGCGAAACAAAGCTCAACACCATTTGCATTGGGAAACAAGAGATCTCGACGGCAAGAAAGCCGCTACTCGTCATCCTAACTTTGCGGCGGGAAAACCTGTTCATGTCATGACGTGTCTACGGATCTACGACTTCGCCCTTTGTCACACGCAGATGCTGAAGAAGCTGGCCCTGCAACTGAACGGCAAGGAGTGGTCCTGGAACAACCTCAACACGCTCTGCTGGGCCATCGGATCCATCTCGGGGTCCATGCAAGAAGACCAGGTGCGGCGAAACCAGCGTCCAAAGGTTAAAAAGGACCTTTCTTCTTAGTATGTCAACCTAGGTACCTCTACGAGCTTCTGATCGAGCTTAGATTGGATCGGGGCGTCATAGGCAGCTCTTTATGGACAATAAGGTCCTCCATCCTATACTCCGTTTGGCCAGGGCGGCTCAATTGTTGCTCAATAGCTGGGCCGTAGACTTCACATTCGGGTTACTTGGACTGGTATCTGCCGTCTAAATTGAAAATTGAAACAGTCGTCCTCAGTTGCAGGCCCAAATTTGAATCTGGAGGCTCTGGCAGGGCTGTTGAGGTCTGGCAGTACTTCAATGCTGACACGCACAGTTTTACTGGTGCAGGAGAACCGGTTCCTGGTGACCGTCATTCGAGACCTCCTCAGCCTGGTGGAAATCACCCGGGGCAAGGCCCACAAGGCCGTCATCGCCAGCAACATCATGTAAGCCGCGGCCGGCTCTCATCCTGAACGGAAAGTCACTATCGTGTGTATTAGAAATTGATGCGACTGAGTGTTCAGGCAGCTGGATTTTAGCCCTGCAGCACGCATGAGAGCTCAAGTTCGCAAAGCGTACTTGAGACAATGTTACACGTGTCAGACGACCTTGATGGAACGTTGTTGGAGGGGGTCCTTCTTTCTGCAGATTGGCCTCTTCTCTCGCAGTCTTTAGAGACTGATCGTGTGGGCAATAATGGTTTAGCCTCCGTATCGATCAGCCTATTCAATGCTCTTCTCTTCCAGGGCACTTCAATGTTATCTTTGAGTCAGTTCGTAGCCCAAAAGGTCAAAAACTATGTAGCCTTTGCTTTCAAAAATCAGCCCAATCTAAGGACGCTCACTGAACTTCTCGCTTGGAAAACTTGTGCCGTGCAGGTACGTGGTGGGCCAGTACCCCCGCTTCCTGCGCGCCCACTGGAAGTTCCTCAAGACGGTCGTCAACAAGCTCTTCGAGTTCATGCATGAAACGCACCCCGGAGTGCAGGTGCGCCCATCGGTTCCACTTGTCACCGTCTCCCTTCTTTCCTTCTTTCTGGACTTTCTGCAGGAAATATAGCAGGTATTGTACAAGGCAGATATGCATGCTAGCCTTGGGCTGTGTGCTCGGTTTCCCTGTGCCACACTCGGTGCGGTCAGAAAGTTTTTTTCGTTGATTCAGACCGTGCGTTCGGTTGCATTGCTGGATGTGAGGACTTTGAGCAAACGGCTCGGCGTTTGACTATGGGCCTGTCTGACTCGTTTTCATTGTTTAGATGAGACCCAGAGCCGCAAAGATATTGAAGACGATCATCTGTCCTGACGGCGCAGTTGCTCACTCTTGCAGGACATGGCATGCGAGACGTTTCTGAAGATTGTCCAGAAGTGCCGACGAAAGTTCGTCATACAACAAGTGAGATTACGTTTGTTCTTTGTATCCACGCCTCCCTTTCTCTTATAGCGACATCTCGTGCTTCTATGTCTGACCGTCCCTTTTCGATTGACAACAGAGCGGCGACGGATGTGTGGTGATATCTGGTCCATATACAACTTTTTCAAGTCAAGTCTTGATCCCATAGCAGCCAAGACTTACAGTAGCTCTGTCACCAAACTGCCAACCTCTGGGGCTTCTCTTCGGACTTCCGAAACCTCTTGCCTTCTTTCCAGGTTTTATATCAAAAGGTCGAGTTATTGCTTCAATTCCGCTATTGTAGTTGAGCAGACGGCAGCTTACAAAAGCATCCATATTATTGGCAGGCATTTCCTCGTTTCAAAAACGGATGATTCTTTTAAATAACGGCTCATTGGTTCAAGTGGGTTCCAATCATGTGGCTGGCTTGTCTAGGTGGGTGAAGCCGAGCCGTTCATCTGCGAGCTGCTGCGCGGGCTGGCGACGACCATTCTGGACCTTCAGCCGCACCAAATACACATGTTCTACGAGTCGGTAAGGCTGCTGGTCGGGTTGGCATCCGCGCGTATTCGGCAAATGCGTGGATTACACGAGTCGAGTTCGAACATCTACCAGAGCTTTACAGCTTCAGACGAATAGGGACAAAGCTTTTTCAGTCCCACGGAAAGAGACAACGTTATTTGCTGCATAAGGGTGTCTTGTCTTGTTTCAGCTGAGGAAGCCGCTCTTTCTGCTATGGTGTCCAGATTACGAAGCCCTTGTGTCGTACTTTGCAGGTGGGATACATGATCCAAGCGGAAACTGAAAAGCAGAAACAGATTGAGTACCTACAGAAGCTCATGGAGCTACCAAACGCGGTGAGCATCGAGACACTGTCAGTTCTGCCGATTATTACTGTCAGCAGTCTTTTGCAGTATCGTTTTTATCGCCACCAAGGTTGGCGGAGAGGTAAAGCCTCTATCATAGGACGCTGGGAAAGTCAGCCAAGGCGACTGCCGTGCTCGGATGAACAACGCTTCATCTCGTCATTGAAGCGGTTCAAAAAGTTATTAAGGCCCCGGATGTGCGTTGATAGAAGCCGGCCATCACAAAAGAAAGCGTCAGCTCTCTTGAGCTGTCCCTTAATTCTCTTTTCCGTCCTCATCTTCTCTCGGTTCGGCTGTAACTCTGCTGCAACAAAGGCACGAGACCTTAGCGGAGCATGGCAGAGCGTGCTCAAGCTTTAAGACACGCAGCTTGATCACGTCGATCATCTCCAGAAGATGTTTATGCAAAATCCTGTTCAAACTCTCCTGGAGACACCGGTGTCACTTTCTCAATCTCCACGCAACTCCACTGCAGGTTGGAACAAGATCATAGCGCAGGCACTGCAGAGCGTGAACGCTTTTAGTTCCACACCTCAACACATTAGTCGAGCTTTAGAAATTTAGAAACGTTACCCGTATTCCCGGGTTAACACACTCCCCCTCTTTGGGGACACCCTAACGAATTCCTGCGCCTTTTTGCTGCAGCGGTGGAACGAGATCATGGCGCAGGCGCAGCAGAGCGTGGACACGCTGAAGAACCCCGAGACGGCGCGCGCGATCCTGAACATTCTGCAGCCCAACGTGAGCGTGGCCAGCGCGCTCGGGCAGCCCTTCATCAGCCAGCTCTCCGGCATCTACCTCAACATGCTCAACATCTACAGGTGGGTCCCCACCCTCCCTGCCCTGGTAACAGTTTAGTTACAGTTTTTTTAGTGGCCTCACAACTTGCCACCCCAGTTTCAGCTTTGAGTTGCGGTCCAAAATCTTGATCCGTCGCAACTCATTCAACAACCATGGGACTGTGGAAATCAAAAACTTTGCTCTGAGCTGTGCTAATCTGAGAGCACCAGTTCTGAAGGTCTTCCTCATCCTTCTGGGTGTTTAGAACGGGTTTGTTTCGAGAACGGATTCTGACAGAGCAGATAATGCACTGCTGGGATCTTTTTTGGCAGGTGATGCGAGATTCGTCTTCCTTTGGTCCGCTTTCTTACGCTTCTGAAAGACGCCTGTCAAATTGCTCAATGGAAGTCCGTTTTATGAACCATCTGGGGTGAGAGAAGGTCGCCTTCAGTGCAAACCATGTTCAACGACCACTTGTCACTCCCATTTTGGCAGGCTCGGATCGCTCTGTGTCGAATTGGTCGCATAACACTTTCTCTTGAGTGCAGAATGTATAGCGAGATCATCTCCAGCAGCATCGCGGAAGGAGGCCCTTACGCTTCCAAGACATCCGTGGTCAAGCTCCTCCGGTGAGACTTGCCTCTCTGCTAGTTTGCCTCCCGTAGGTCTTGCCATCTCTCAAAGTCATCTATAGTCGGATAAAATGAACGAATCATTTATCAACGTTTCGGGTCAATTACGTTCCATTCCGGAGCTTTGTTGGTCAGACGGGAGCGACTGTGAGAAGTCTTCTTTTGAGGACGGTGTCTAAAATGCTGGAGATTTGTTTTCAGGACCACAGGCTTTTTGCCATGACCTGCTATAAGTACAAACTGTTTTGTTGCAATAACCTGGCATAATCACAGACTGTTTCGTTGCTACAACCTACCATAAGCACAGACTGTTCCGTTTGCTATCATTTGCCATGACCACAGACTCATTCGTTACCAGAACCTGGCATAATCACCGACTGTTTCGTTGCTATAACCTGCTAAAACCACAGACTGGTTCGCTGCCAGGTCCGTGAAGCGCGAGACGCTGCGGCTGATAGAGACGTTCGTGGAGAAGGCGGAGGACACGGAAATCATCGCCAAGCAATTTGTGCCTGCCATGCTAGACCCCATCCTAGGGGACTACGCGCGCAACGTGCCGGACGCACGGGAATCGGAAGTGCTGTCCCTATTCGCCGCCATCATAAATAAGTGAGCTCTTGATTACAGACGTTCCTCCTTTAGTTGGTTGCTCCTCATGCCCTTTTCTTCTGCTGTTCCCTCCGTCACCAGTTGAAGTCACCTGTTCAGTTCTGTGGGAACGAGCAAAACGGGTGCTGACAATGTTCGTAGCATAGATGCCAAAGTTCCACCTCTTCCCACGAGGTTTTCGAGGGGACCTGTGTCCGCATCCGTCTTAGTAGCTGCTGGCTGTCGGAGGACCTGCTAGCGAAGGCCTCCAGCTTTTAATCGACAGTTTTTCGGCTAGCGGTGCCTTGCTATCCTGCTTAGGCAATCCGCTGTCGGTATCACCGCATATGCTGTTTTGGAGAGCATTTGTCGCCCTTTTTATTGCAGTTCGTTAAGCTTCGCATCATTCTCATTTGATTGCAGATTGAAGGAAGCCATGCTGGACGAGGTGCCCCGGATCTTCGAGGCCGTCTTCGAGTGCACGCTGGATGTGAGTACCCACTTTGCAACCTGAGCTTTGCACCGCCTTTCGAGTTTGAGGCGCCGTTCAAGTATCCCTTCACGGCATGCACACGTACGCAAGGAAAAGCTGTCTGGAACCAGTCAGCAAAGTTACCTAACATAACAAACGTAACTAGTCCGTTCGTAAGCCCGTGTCTCGTGTCAAAACCGTGCCTGAATACAAAAGCAACATACTCCTCCTTTCGGGGACATAAGTCGTGAGCGATTCCTCTCTCCCTTTTTGGTGGGCATCAGTGGGTGTTAAGCGCGACTTTAGATGCCCTTCCATTACAAAGCAGTAGCCTACACATCGGACAATTCTGGAACCCCCTTGCCTGGCAGGACATCCTCCGTTTGCAGTTGATGTCACTGATGATACCCCCCTCCCTCTTAGCGAGGCTGACCACTACTTACCTGCGCCTTCGTGCAGATGATCACCAAGAACTTCGAGGACTACCCCGACCACCGGCTCAAGTTCTTCTCGCTGCTGCGCGCCATCAACAGCCACTGCTTCCGGGCGCTCTTCAGCCTCTCCAACCAAGTGAGTTGGGCGCTCGGTTAACGCGGGCGTCGGCATTTCATGGATGCACTCGGTTTTCGTTGACGGCATCACTACTGCTTCTAAGCTTCGGCGCGGTTGCAATTTTGAAGTTTGAACTAGCATATGTTTGGATGCAGTCGGTCAACTTAGTCACACAGATTCAGGGTGGAGTATCGTGTGCGGTGAGAGCTGCGCTTCCGTGGGGTTTGAAACGGCTTCCCTTCGCTTGAGTTGGAAGGACCCACACGGAGTCCAAAAAGCACCTACTGCGTCAACGCCTTGGACCGGTAAAGTAAAACTGCAGAGAAGAGGTAGAGAGTGCCCATAAGCAGCGATGAATCAAAGGGGTTCCAAGCAGTTTCTATCAAGTCGCCCCTGCCGGCGCGCCGACCAGCGAGCATCGATGATAGTAAGGCGTTGAACCAGATCTTAAAAAGGTCGTATCCGCTGATCCAGCGGCTTGGTTCGACGGCTCATCTTCGCTCCTCGCGTTGCAGCAACTGAAGCTGGTGATGGATTCCATCGTGTGGGCGTTCCGGCACACGGAGCGCAACGTGGCGGAGACGGGGCTCAACCTGCTGCTGGAGATGCTGGGCAACTTCCAGGTCAGCCACTGCCGCTTTCAAGCGGTCTCGGTCTACTAATTGTTGGTTTCGCTACGCCCTTTTGTGTTGGTGGGATGGCGATCGCGGATCAAACAGGCGGTTTGGCGATTTCAATGTTTTTCAGCCGAGACGGGGCTGAATCTCCTGCTGGAAATGCTGGACAACTTCCAAGTCAGCCGCCGCCGTCCGTCAGGCTGCCGCCGTCAAAGCGGTCTTGTCGTAACACAATCTGGACGGTGCTGCGCCTTTTGGTCTGAGTGGGTTGGTGTTTGGGGTATGAACGGATTAGGAGCGTGGTTTAAGCATCAGATCGTTCGCGTTTGACGATCTAATCCTTCGATAGTGCTGAACGAAGGCTCACCCTTCTGCCGGACCTCATCCATTTGAACTGCAACTACCAAAGTAGATGTCCTCTGCACTGAAGACACGTCTTACTTTGGATCAGTGACGTGAGCGGGCTTTATTCGAACACCTTTCCTGCTTACAAGTAAAGTTTATTGCTCGGACTGCTGTGGATTACACTATTGTGAAGTTGACCCGCTTGCTGGTTTTGTCTCGAATGGCTGGAAACAAGACCTGACGAAACGACTCGCTTGTAACCTTTTGCCGTATTGGCGCCGTTTTCGGCCGGTGTTTCGTTGGTCAAAGTATCTTCTCCTTGGGAGCATCCATCATTTCGACTTTCTTCTGTCTCCCTTTTCATCCTGCAAGGGAGATTGACTGGAACTGGGCTCTCTTTTCATCATGCAAGCGAGAATGATTGAACCGCGCTTTTGAGAGGCATCGAGGATGAGATAGTTATCCTTGCGCTTCGACTGGGGCTCCGGCCTCGATGAAGACAAGAAATAACACCAGACTGCTAATCCTGGTACTGAGATGCCGCCTTGCGCTTGTCAGACGTTTGCTTTTGTTGGTTTGGCTCCTCTATCCCTGTTGCATCGTTTTTCGGGTTTTTGACACGCACCACAAGTCCGTGTCGTCGGCCTCTGAAGAGAACTCCTGTTGCCGCTTCCAGCTAAAATCCCACTCGGTATTGAATCGTTGCTGTGATTAGAATCCTCTTCCTTGTTTCGCAGGGGTCGGAGTTCGTGAACGCGTTCCACCAGACGTACTTCCTCACGATTTTGCAAGAGATCTTTGCGGTCCTCACCGACACCTTCCACAAGCCCGGCTTCAAGCTGCACACCGCCATCCTGCAGCACCTCTTCTGCCTCGTGAGCCCACCTCACCTTCCTTGTTTCTTTTTGTCCTAGAAAACCAAACCTCAAGGCCTATCCCCAGTGCAGCAATGCTTACTTGATCCTCATCGTCCTGAAACTCTTCGATACGGCACGGTTTGTCTATCGTACCACCGTTATGTTGGCGTCTTCTACATGGTTCTGTCGGAGCCCATCAGTTGATACTTTCTCGTCAAGCAATCAAAGATCGGGCTGAAGGAGCGAAGGCCCACAAGGGGTGTTAGCCAGTACCGTGGCTTGCCCTGCTCTAGACTTTCCCTGACCACCTTGCGCGTTAACGCCTCCCACCGCTATGTTGCAGCAATTTTCGGCAACCCCTTGTTTTTGAAGTCCTGGTGCTGCTTGGTGTGACACAAAGCGCTGGAATCCTCACCCGGCCGTTCCTTCGAGGAGTAAAATTTTGACGTTCTTCCTGTCGACGTTTGGCGGTCGTTTATATTTCGTTTATATTTGGAAAATCGGGGACAGGTTGTCGAGATCCGCAGTGAGCCCAACTGAATGTCTCTTTCACGGTTTGTTTTTGTACGAGCTGACATTGTCCTGTTGCTTCGGCAGGTGGACTCGGGCACTTTGACGGCCCCTCTGTGGGACGTGTCCACGCTCGGCCCTGCCGCATACCCCAACAACCCGGCGTTCGTCCGAGACTATACCATCAAGCTGCTGAGCACGTCCTTCCCGAATTTGGCAAGCGCGGAGGTACGGAAATGTTCCTCAGTCCGGCGTTTCTTCCTTCGCGCTCATGTCAGACGTTGTTCCATCTGGTGCTATTGCAGTTCTGCCTCCGAAGTTGAGAAGGCGTCGCAAGCTTTGGCATGCTTGCTGGGTTTAGACAAATAATGATCTGACTAATGGGGCTCTTGCGTCGCTTTTCTTATCGTCTGACAGTATTGTTCCGGGAACTGCTTGCAATAAGGGCAGTTGCCCGACGTTCACTGCTCAGCACACTTGACAAAGCAGAGACCTGAAAAAGCCTTCTTGTATCTATACAGGTGGCGGCGTTCGTGAGCGGGCTGTTTGAGTTCAAGAACGACACGACGGCGTTCAAGAACCACCTGCGCGACTTCCTGGTCCAGTCTAAGGGCTTCTCCTCCCAGGACAACAAGGACCTGTACGCGGAAGAGGCGGCCGCGCAGCGCGAGGCCGAGCGCCAGAGGATGCTCAGCATCCCGGGACTGATCGCGCCAAACGAAATTCAAGACGACGGGATGAAGGATTGAGGACGGGGAGGTGCGGCGAGATTTTGTGGGTATTGGAAGAGAGTGGTTGTTGCAGGGGGACGGTGGTTACTGGTGTCAAACTGTTAAACGAGAATGTGGTGCTGTATACTTGGTCGGGGAGTTTATGATACGAGGAGGCCTTGCCGTGAAGTTCGAGCCGGTGAAGCATGTTCTGAGGTCCTAACTTCGAGGGCTGCTCATCAGTTTTTATGAGTTCGTGGTCGAAAGCAGTGATTAGGGGTACGCCCAGCTCCTGGGGACTTACCCATCATCGTCTATAAGCTAGCAAGAGCGGCTTAGGACTGGTCCATTCGCGACAAGCTAGTTGGTCGTGCTCTTGTGAGCGGGCAGAAACGCCAACCGACACCATCATTGGCCGGTTGGTATCAAAGTCTGCTAGGCGCCTAAGTGCTCTTGTCTAATTTCGGTCTAGCTGAATCTTTTCGAAGTGTAGAGTCATCTTTGAATTGGAGCTTGGTCACACCAATGTGGTCAAGCTGGTCAAGTAGTGACTTCACCTGAATCGACTTTTGAAATTCCTCGATAGGTGGTCCGGTCAAGTGTAGCTTTGAATCGGGAGGGCGATAGGATTGCTATCAAACTTGAACAAAGTAAATTGCTCATGTGAAGCAGTCTTTCATATTGCATACATATGTGTCTTCTTTTGTATCCAACTTCCTGCACGATTTTGCCATGCTTTGCTTGAGGTTCAAACCATTCTCAACAAAATCGCTCTGCAACGCTAGCTCCACTTCATCCTATACCATGAGCCATCTTAGTTTCGTGAATGTTTTCTGGTAGATTTTTGATACAACAAATGGTATATGTATCAACATCACTAACTTCTATATTAGAAGGTGCAATGATACATTCGTTTATTGCTATTTGCTTCGAACTTGGCACCGCCCGCCAGCTGAGATCGCGAAACGCGCAATTTCCGATATGATTATAATCATTTGAGACATGATTACCTTATCCAACGAGCTCGGGTGCAAACATTGAAATTTGTATTCGTGCTCTTGGCCGCGGCGGCGTGGCCTTCAGGAGAAAGGTGCCGGATCCGAATGGTGGATCATGCAGTGTGCAAAGTTATCCGCCGTAAAGCTCTACATGATGCGCCTTTACGCACACGCTGCGCCATCGTACACGACCAACCTACTCCTACTCACCTACCGCCGCGGGGCACGACGGTGACCTGCCTGAAGACCCTACTATGTCTCCAAGCTAGAATTTCGAATTAAGCACCCATGTTCGTAGATTTTTGCTAAGGTTTGTCATTTGTGCAAGCTATAGCATGTTAGGGCATATCAGGTGATCAGGCATAAAATGTTATCCAATAAAGGTAGGCCATAACGAGTAGGAAGTGCATGTAGGTACTTGCCGCCAGTGGTAGAGTACCTAGCTTTTCTAATCAAACGTTCAGACTCGCAACAAAGTGTGTACTCGCTCTCAGGTCCGTGGCTCACGCTACGGCCTAATATAAAAGAAGCATACCGGTACATCTGACGGCGACGGTAGGTTCAAAACCTTTATCCTCATCGACGACCATCATTGCAGATATTTATCGAAGTGCGATCTTGTAAAATCCATGGCGAGAGATTCAGGCGCAGATGGGCGCAGATCGACGGTTTGAACGGGAGCCATGGAGCCACAAAAGTCATCGAGCGCCCAAAGACACGGACAACGACGATCGGACGGTGCAGCTTTTGCGAGGCATCCATGTGGCTTTACGACTGGCACTTGGTGCTGGGCACTCTTGAGTCACGACTCACAGCCTTCACTGCTTCAGGCTGCTCGTTGCTGCTCAGTGCACTGATCATGCGTTGTGTCAAGACTCCAAAGGGCAGCATTGCAAGCCCAAAAGCGACCTCAAAGCCCCTCGAAAAGTGAGCTGAGCAGCGGCCATTTTCTGGACGGAAAAGTTGTTTTCCTTTCACAGATCTCCGGTGGGAAATACAAAGCTGCAGTCAGGGGGCTTTATTGGTGCTGTCAAAGCCCTGCAAAGATGGCTGCTTCCATGTCCCTCGTAAGGGGCACGTGTGCGCCAAGTGCAGCGCTCGCCCCAAAACTTTCGGCGTGCTCATCAGCAAAGGCAGGGGTCTCCCTCCTGCCCGCAGTGGGCTTTCTTGTTCCCCCCCGCTCTGTGGGCAGTAGTTTCCTTGCGGGCGATGCCGACCTGTCGTCTGTGAGGAAAATGTGCCGGAACGCGGGCCGGGGGGGGGCGCTTCAGGCGCAGGCCGTGGCCGAGTTTGTGGAGACGAGAGAGCCGTTGAATGGAACGCTGCGCAAAGTGACCCTGCCCTACAGCGAGGACGATTCCGAGCTGGAGAATGGGCGGGAGTCGGACTACGAGGAGGTTGAGACGGAGAGCGAGCCTGAGTTGGCTGCCACTGACATCCGGAACTTCGACCTCTCAAAAGAGACGGTTCGGGCGTTGCAGGCCCGCGGGATTGAGAACCTGTTTGCCATTCAGGTAAGGAATGCAGCCACCCTTGTGTAAGATGGGTTGCAAATGTGGTGGTGACCATTACCGGTCGAATCTTGCCTTGTAGCCCGTTTGAAGCTCCTTCTTACTTTCAGGAAGTGGTTCTAGCAATAGCAATGCTGGCCTGAAGCCGTGTGGTAATGGTGACCAAAGATCTGCAATGTACTTCTGATTCACTTATCTTACCCTGGGTAAAATGAGTTTTTCTTTTCAACTTCAAGTGTTTTCTGGACTATCTTTCAAGGACGAGGATAATGAAATAGTTTGCCGTGTGCCTTTTCAACGTCGGAGTCGTCGTGGTTATTTGCGAGGGGCCATCTTTCTTCTCTGCTATATGGGCGCCTTTTCTGAAGTATGCGGTTATCGCATTTTGAAACCCAGTTCAGGTATTCTGTGTTCAGTACGGTCCTGTGAAGCTGTCATTGCAGCTGCTTAGTCAATGCCGAAAGCCTTTCCCGTAAATTGTTATGTAGGTTGTATCTTCACATTTGTTGAAAGATCTGCCTTTTCTTCATAGACCGTTTTTTTGGACCCAAGGGTCTGCTCCTGGGCGCATTCGGTTCAATTTTGAGGTTAGGGTTGGGAACTAATATGGGTGGGTTTGGACCTCGGTGTTTGTGGTGTACTACTGGACATAACAAAACTGTGTTCCTGACTTGAGTTGTGGCTTTGTCTTCAGTGCGCCGTCATTCAGCCCGCCATGGCTGGGCGTGACATCATCGCCCGTGCACGGACGGGTACTGGAAAGACGCTCGCTTTTGGGCTGCCCATCATAGAAAAGCTTCTGGCCGCAAGAGCAGAGAATGGGGCATCCATGAGAGGGTGAGTGACCTCAAGCCACTTTTGTTTCAATAGTTATCTCTGACCAGCACTCAGAGTTCTAGGAGGGGGCGAAACAACGAGGGAGGTGCTTTGGAGAGCAGGTTGTGAGTTTGAAAGTAGTAGCTGATGCTTTGCTGGAGGTTGACCCTCGTTCATTGCTTCTTGAAGCTGTCCTAGACTAAAGAGCTGTCCTAAACGAATAAGCGGCTTCCAAGTGAGGGAGGTGTAAAAGTCAATGCCGGCACTCGCCTGGCGCACAAACGTGGATTTAGGGTTCAGTTTAGGGTTCACATGTTTGCCACAATGCTGACATTCCTGACTCCACGCTTTGCAGGAGAGCTGGCCGCCTGCCCAAGTGTTTGGTGATGGCTCCAACTAGAGAGCTGGCAAAGCAGGTCGAGAAGGAGTTCATGGAATCTGCACCAAGTAAGCAGCGGAAACTTTCTTTTCCATCTTTCAAAGTTGTTCATTTTGTTTCTAACTAATTGGCTCTGGAGCGTCCCACATTATCCGTCGTGTCCTCATCTCTGTAAAGTGCACAAGCTTTGCTGTGATCCTCATCCGGCTCTCTTGTATTTGTATGCCTGTACCCACCAACTTTTGATGCCTCAAGACAAGCAACCCAGAAGTTCCTCACTGACGTCAACTCCTTTTTACACTTGCAGGCCTGCAGACGGTGTGTGTGTACGGTGGTGCTCCCATCTCCGGTCAGGAGCGCACCCTTCGGCGGGGGGTAGATGTGGCTGTTGGCACGCCAGGGCGTATCATGGATCTGATGGAGCGGGGGGCGCTGGACTTGCAGGAGGTTCGCTACATGGTTTTGGACGAGGCAGACCAGGTGAGTGGAGCCTAGTTGTTCATCGTATTTTGCTGGTTGCTAACAGACTTGCTTAGGGTTTGAGCCTTTGGTAAAGCGAGCCAAGGGGGGTGGTATTATTAGCCCAACTTTCATGCTGCTCAATAAAGAGCTCAACGCTGCGATCGAGTGAAGAGGAGCTTTACGCTGCAATCGTGTGAAGAGACCAGATTGTCTGGAAAGCTATTTTCATCTGGGCTGCAGGCGGTCAATCAAAGATGGGCTTTGAACCCTAGCTAAGTTGCAAAAAAGATGGGGATACTACATATTCATCGGGCCGAGCTTGCTTGTTCCCCCAATCAGAAGCATGGTCATGTTTTTACCCCAACTTTAAAATCATGATCTGCAGGGTTGCTCGCTTTTTCAGAAGCGCCTCCTTCGGTTACTTTTCCAGGACCCACTCCCTGTATGCCTCAAGCAGTGCCCATCTGGAGTCACCTCAGTCAGAGATTCCACTCATTGCTTATCCTCCTTCACTGCAGATGCTGAACGTCGGGTTCGAGGAAGCGGTGGAGCACATTTTGCGCAACTGCCCTGTGGAGCAGCGCCAGAGCATGCTCTTCTCCGCCACCATGCCCACGTGGGTGCGGCGTCTCTCGCGCAAGTACCTCAACAATCCGGAAGTCATTGACCTGGTCGGAGATGACGACGCAAAGATCCCCGAGGGCTTGAAGATCATGGCGGTGCAGGTGCCGAGGAACGCCAAGCGCAACGTGCTGATTGACCTTATTACGGTGAGGGAGTACCTGAATCGCGACAGAAGCAGGGTCAGAGCAGACGGTGGGTGTTTCACCAAGAAAACATGATACATTTGAACGGAAGAACGGAAGGCGCAGTTGGGGCTTTGGGCCGCACAGAGAAAGTCGAGTCAATGGGCAACTGTGCGAACCCTAACTGAGCTTAGGGTTTGTTTTCGGGCGTGCGAATCAGGATTGCCCCTTGCGAGTCTGCTTGCTTGGATGCGTTAATTTGCAGCTTGTGCTGCGTTCTATGCCGGTCAACCACTCCGCTTGTTCACTTGCACTCTGGTGTATTTGAGCTTCCCCAGCAATCTCTGATTCTGAATTATACCGTTGACGTCGGTCATGCCGTCTTTATCAATCAAGTCTCAGGGCGTCACTTCCAGGATCCAGTATAGTTTCTTCAACCGGTGGATGTTGTGCTTGTGTTCAATATGCTCCATGTCTTTCTCTTGCAGGTGCATGGTCGCGGTCGGCGGACGATTGTTTTTGGGCAGACTAAGCGCGACGTGGACGACATTGCGGTGCTTCTGAGCCGCACGCACAACGCAGAGGCGCTTCACGGAGACATTGCGCAGTCGCAGAGGGAGAAGAGTCTGCAGGGATTCAGAGATGGGAGGTTTAAGGTGCTCGTGGCCACTGACGTGGCGTCGCGCGGGCTCGATATTCCCGACGTCGACTTGGTAAGTCGCGCATTTGGTTGCGATCAGTTTCTTCGTGTTGTTTTCAAGTCTAGGAAAGCTGATTGGGGTCGCGAGCAGTCCGTTTATGCTGATTTTCATGTCTAGGAAAGCTTATTGGGTGGTTGGGATCTGGTGACCTGAGGCCTTGCAAAGGCAACCCCGAAAAGAAGTCGCTGCAGTCACTTTGGGGATCTTGGCTTGTTCCAACACATGGGAGAGATCTATTGTTGCCTGTGACGTGTGTAACCGTGCTTCGTGTTGATCCGGCCTTGCTCCCTGCCAGGTTATTCATTACGAGCTGCCCAATGACACCGAGACCTTTGTCCACCGGTCGGGCCGGACTGGGCGTGCGGGCAAGGACGGCATTGCCATTGCGATGTACGCTGCCCCGGAGAGGCGCATGATGTCGCGCCTCGCAGCCGCCTGCGGAAAGGACTTCGTCAACATTCAACCGCCTAACCCCTCCGTAAGCCTCCTTGCCCTGGATTCGGGTCTTTGCATCACGATTGGGTGGACTAATACTTCCAATTCTGAAGGGTCAAGAAGATTGTCATGTCAATGGTTCTAGCAGCCCGGGGATTAAATATCCCCTCACCATTTTTCATTCCCGCTCACTAATCTCACATTCCCGCTCACTAATCTCAATTTTCGCGTTGAATTTTGTCTCAGGTTGCTTCAATCTGTCCACTGTCCAGGATCGCGATTTGGTTGTTCCTTGAGACTGCTAGGGCCCTGTGACAAAACACGTCCGTCCTTACAAAGTAGGACTTGTGCTACCCCTCATTGGAAGCCCGTCCGCTGGCAGGTTCAGTGCGCCCCTCTCATCCTCCTGTTGACTGGCTGCATCGACCTCCTTTATCAACCATCCCTCAACCTGAAGCCTCCCTGTGACAGCTTTATTGCGCTCCTCTCATATTCTCCTGTCAATCGGCCACATCAACCCCCGTCTTCAATCATCCCTCATCTTCAGAATCCCCTTTCTTGCAGGATGTGTTGAACGCCGCTGGCCAGCAGGCACTGGAGATGCTGGAGGGCGTTGATGCTGAGCTGTACCCGCACTTCTTCCCCGCAGCAGAGCAGCTCATCGCGGAGCGTGGGCCGCTCAACGCTGTTGCGTCTGCGCTGGCGGCGATCAGCGGGTTCCGGGAGCCGCCCAAGCCCAAGTCGCTGCTGACCTTCGAAGAGGTGAGGGGCAGAAGCAAAAGGTCTGGGCGTTGTGTCAAACTTTGGGTGCTTAGAGAAGGTTAGGGGGAGGTGGGCGTGGGCCAACACCTGTGCTGAGTGGTTCGAAACGAGAGGGTGTTGCTGGACCTGGATGGTAGAGAGGGGCTGTGTATTCTGTTTCTGAGGAGCCGTTATGGTCCGGAGTAGGAGCTCTGGTTGCGGAGTGTGCCTTCTTTGGCTCGCTTAGAGGGGTAGGGAGTGCGAAAGACCCTACATGTTTGTTGTGCTGTTGGTCGACCCTGGATCATGCATTCGGCAGATTCACGTGCACTTACTTTTGCCGACATAGTTTCAAGCCAGACACGAGGTAAGGCTCTGCCGGAACAGCAAGATGAGGTTCAGAGTGAAGGCAGTAGCCCTTGGCGACATACGGGAAGAAGTGGGAGGTCTTACGCTTCTCTGTGGAACGGTTCCCTGATATTATTCGCCCTTTTCTCTGCAGGGCTGGACCACCCTGCAGGTCGTGCGCTCTGCTAGCGGTCGTGGCCCAATCGTCTCCCCGCGCAACGTGCAAGCGCTCCTCGGGTCAGTCGGGCAGCAGTTCGCGGACAACGTAGGAAAGATCCGGCTCATTAGCGACCGGGACGTCGACGGGGCGGTGTTCGACCTGCCCACCAAATTGGCAAAGAGGCTAGTCGAGATCAAGGAAGCGGAAGGGGACTATTTCGACGAAGTACAACAGCTGCCGAGGCTGGTTGAGGAGTTCCGGGGGGGAGATATGGGCGGTCGGGGCGGAAGTCGGGGAGGCTACGGAAGGGGGGGCGGTGGCGGCGGATATAGGGAGAGGTCGGGGTAAGTGTTTCTGTATTCTTTGCATCCCCTCTGTCCGTTTGTCTCTTACTGATAGGTACACCTTCTGCGGAGAAAAGAAGGGCCGCGATTTGGACAGGAGCACCCTGCGTGCCTCGTTCTCATTGTCATTCCTCGTTCATCTAGGTTGGCTTGAAGAATCATCTGAAACCCCTTCTTCTCTTCTCAGCTCCCGTTGCTTTTCGTCTTCGGGGCTGCAGTTTCATCTCTGTGGATGTCTGAAGCAGTGCTGCTTTTCAGTGGGTTCGTGTGACGTCGGGTACTGGCTCGTGATGAGAACATACATAAAAAAACCCGCGCTCTGGTTCTCAGAGTGCGTCGAGCTCATTGGGCGATGAAGTAGGTTTAATCCGTTCTCTGAAGCACCTCGGAAATGTTTCCTTCTCTGCAGAAATGTTCTCGGTGCGATTGGTGTCTTTTGCTTCTTGAATGTCGACCAGTGTTGGGCTGTATGGAATGCATTCATTGGAGTTGCTGGGACTATTGCACGGGAATCGTTGGATGCAGCAGCAAGTCGTCGGATGGCTCGGCCTTTAAGAGAACGCTTCCCCTCGTTAGCAGTTCCATGAGTCTTAAAGTACGTTCCTAATGCAGGTATGGTGGCAGCCGAAGCGGAGGGGGCGGGGGCGGCTACGGAGGTTCGAGGGAGAGGGGTTCTGGCAGCTCGTATGGAGGCCCCAGGGAAGGCCGGGGCGGCAGCGACTTCGATTTCGGCAGGAGGCCCAGCAGTGGCGGCGAGCGGACGAGTCGGCCGCGGTATGGGGGTTCCAGCGGAGGTCACGACGACTTTGGGGGAGGTGAGGGGCTGTTGACGATAACCTACGAGCCATTGCTTCACCAAGTTTGTTTTCAGTTTTGGGTGAAGAAGAGTGGTGAAGAAGAGCTGTTCGTGTTGCCATGTTCTTGACGTGGAGACGATTCCGGCGCTGAAGGTGGGAGCCTGTGCTTGTAACCTATCGTTTCTTGGAGAAGGGCTTCAGCAATCGGACGAACTTTGTTTGTGACCGCTGAAAAGAAGCAGTACTTGTTTTGTACTTTTGTATTCCACTGGACTGACCGACTTACCGTACATTGTGCAGGTGGTGCTCGGAGGTGGTAGACTGCCACCTTAGGTAGTAAGAAAGCTAGTTTTAATTCAGGTCTCTGTGGGCACAATTCGGTAGTCCGCCTGCTTCCGCTCCTTTGCAGTATAAAGAAGACCTACTAGGGTAGAATTCTTGATGATTATCAGTGGGCTCGGAAATAGGGTTGTTGTAACATAGATAAACGTTCATTCTTCATGTGCAAGGTTGCTCTTGGGTTATTTCCCGTTGCCCAAGCTTAACAACTGTTGTCATCTACATTGACGTTCTTTGCTTGTTGATTTTTGAGCATGTCAATGGTGGGATGCTTCAAGTCATGTTAGACGCCATGACGGATATAGCACCCACATGCCAGACGTCCAATCAAGTCGTTTGTATGCTGACAAAGCACGGGGTTTGCAACATCCTCGTATACTGTGATTCCATGCTCAAGGATTTGACTTTAAGTATATAAATGAAAATTGCGTGTGGTGCACGCATCGGTTGCCAGCCTTGGCGGCCCCCTTCTACCATGGTTGTTTGGTGTTCCCGGAGTCCTTAATCCGTCGATCAGTGCACCGTCACTGACATTGTTCTAATTCAAGGCCCCGGTGTGTGCATCATCCGGTGACCCAACACATATCTCCGATCAGTTAGGAGGCTCAAGAGTATAATTGAGTGCAGTCTGTATTCATCAAGTCTAGCTCACGCGGTCATGCCACCGTCGCTTATTAGTCGGGCCTTTGTGTAATCGTTAAACGGCCTCGATTTTAGGCATGATGCACATGCTTGAATGGATCCGTAAGCAATCGTCCCATTTGGCTCATGTAGTGGTCCCGGCTTGCATGGACGGTTGTGGCCGCCGCGCGATGTTTATTCGATCACATCACTAAGTCTGCCTGATTGTTGCATTAAGTTGGATGGTCTCTTTTCGAATTGAACACGCTGTGCATGAATTCATAGGCCATGCAGCATGCATGCATGCAGATCTTGAATGCGCACCCACCATCTGATGCACATGGAATCGTAGGAGCCTGCATGATGGCGTGTCATGCCAGAATCCATCGGTGCCATATCGGCTCGGGTAATCGCTAAGCGAGCGACGCGTGTCACAA